ATTCAAATCGAACCCGTGATCCTTGATGTTGCTAATGCCATGCTCTATCAACTGGGCCACACTGGACCACAACTCAAGCTGTCATGATAAGCCACATTAACATTATATAATACATCTGACTTAAATTGATACTTTGGCTCCATTTCTTTTGCTAGATAGCGTTAGCAGCGCTAGTCGACTGTACCTCCACCAAAACGCCTCTATTTTTCATCCTATAGCTTTTTCTCCATCTTCTTTTTAAATAGTGAGCCAACATGTTTTCAACACTTTTATTTCCATGACTGATCATGGCTCTCTCTTGTCCCTCTGCAGCAGATATATAGTGAGCAATATGCTTGGAACATCAAATTGCAATAAAATCGCAGTATCGAAATCACAATACCTAGAGAATCGTGAAAATTTTGAGAATTGCAATACGTATCGTATCGTGAGGTCCCTGGCAGTTCCCAGCCCTGACACACACAGACACACACACACACACACACCTCACTGGTAACCTTGTCTTTTCACTGTTTGTCTTCTAGGGACCAAATGGACAGAGTGAACCAAACAGCCCTGCAATGGGACACCAGAGAGCTTCTGTATCTTAACAATGATGAGATAATAAAGTGAACTGTACCTTTTACTATTATATCAGTCTGTTGTGTCATTATATCAATGTCTGTTGACTTAAGGTTAAGCAGAGCTAGGGTTAAGCTGAGGTTCTGATAGAATTTCATCTTGTTCATGTCTTTTATTTTCTACTTACTGTTTCACAGTTAACGTGACTAAACAGCAGGACTTAAGTCATTAAGAGGGTGATGCTTCCTTCTTCATCAATTAAAGGGTTCATGTATTTTTTGTTGGCCCTATTTTGAGAATGCCAGACCCATTTATTTTATGATGTACAGAAGGCCACATGACATGACCATATTTGGTCGTAGGCCCGTTGCTAAGGTGTTTAGTAAGTTATTTACTAAGGTTTTCTAATTGATTGATCAGGCTTAAATGTTATTTGACTCCCTTATAAGGGTGAACCCATTTTTTTAAAAGTATGTGCTAACTTCATCCATGAGCTCTTCTCATGGATTCACAGGCTCTAAACATTGAATACCTAGCTCTCAAATTCTTTATTCATGTAGAAGTGACATAACAATAAAACAAAACATAACAAATCACATTTTATTAGTCACGGAAACAACAGGTGTAGACTAACAGTGAAATGCTTAGTTACGAATCCTTCCCAACAACAGGTGTAGACTAACAGTGAAATGCTTAGTTACGGACCCTTCCCAACAACAGGTGTAGACTAACAGTGAAATGTTTAGTTACGGACCCTTCCCAACAACAGGTGTAGACTAACAGTGAAATGCTTAGTTACGGAACCTTCCCAACAACAGGTGTAGACTAACAGTGAAATGCTTAGTTACGGAACCTTCCCAACAACGCAGAGAGAAAGAAAATACAGAAATAATAGAAGAGTAAAACACGTAATAATGAAAGTAATAATAAATACACAACGAGTAACGATAACTTGGCTATATATACAGGTTACAGGTACTGAGTCGATGTGCAGGGGTACGAGGTAATAGAGGTAGATATTTACATATACAGTGCATTCGGAAAGTATTCAGACCACTTTACTTTTTCCACATTTTGTTACGTTACAGCCTTATTCTAAAATGGATTAAATGTTGGGGGTTTTCTCATCAATCTACACACAATACCACATAATGACAAAGCAAAAACAGGTTTTTAGACATTTTAGCAAATGTATTAAAAAATAAAACACTGAAATATCACATTTCTCAGATCTGTGCCTCGACACAGTTGTCATACCAAGCGGTGATGCAGCCAGTCAAGATCCTCTGAATGGTGCAGCTGTAGAACATTTTGAGGATCAGAGGGCCCATACCAAATCTTTTCAGCCTCCTGGGGAGAGAAGAAGTGTTGTCAGGCCCTCTTCTCAACGGAAAATATAAGGGTGCAACCATTTTTTTTAAATGTATGTGCTAACTTCATACATGAGTTTCATGGACTCACAGGGGCTCTAAACATTGAATACCTAGCTCTCAAATTGTTCAAGCATGTAGAAGTGACTTAACAAAACACTTCCTGTATCGTCTATAAGCCATAGAGAGAGGGACAATGCCTGTGGAACACTATGGCTCTGTCTCAAATGGCACCCTATTCCCTATATAGTGCACTACTTTTGACCATCTTAGTAAACAAAAGTAGTGCACCATATAGGGAATAGGGTGCCATTTGAGGCTGTTTTTAGATGAGTGGGAGCAGTTCACCTTTCCCTCAGCGTGAGTAGTTTACATAATGTCATCATGGTGACAACTGGCTATTGTTGTTCATCTAAAGCAAAGAGAAAAGGGTTGGGAACATTAGGTATTAAGTCAGATCTTTTCTTGTTATTAATCCACTGATTCAGCGTGACCTAATTGGAGATGTATTACGTGCGCGCAGCACAGTTGAAACAGGCATATCTATAGTACAAACAGAAGACAAAACACTGAAAGATAAAGGGAACATGACAAGAACAATTACATTTGAAATCGGAAGTTTACATACACCTTAGCCAAATAAATTTAAACTCAGTTTTTCACAATTCCTGACATTTAATCCTAGTAGAAATTCCCTGTCTTAGGTCAGTTAGGATTACCAATTTATTTTAAGAATGTAAAATGTCAGAATAATGGTAGAGAGAATGATTTCTTTCAGCTTTTATTTATTTCATCACATTCCCAGTGGGTCAGAAGTTTACATACATTCAATTAGTATTTGGTAGCATTGCCTTTAAATTGTTTCACTTGGGTCAAACGTTTTGGGTAGCCTTCCACAAGCTTCACACAATAAGTTGGGTGAATTTTGGCCCATTCTTCCTGACAGAGCTGGTGTAACTGAGTCAGGTTTGTAGGCCTCCTTGCTCACACACGCTTTTTCAGTTCTGGCCACAAATATTCTATAGGATTGAGATCAGGGCTTTGTGTTGGCCACTCAAATACCTTGACTTTGTTGTCCTTAAGCCATTTTTCCACAACGTTGGAAGTATGCTTGGGGTCATTGTCCATTTGGAAGATCCATTTGCGACCAAGCTTTAACTTCCTGACTGATGTCTTGAGATGTTGCTTCAATATATCCACATAATTTTCCTTCCTCATGATGCCATCTATTTTGTGAAGTGCACCAGTCCCTCCTGCAGCAAAGCACCCCCACAGCATGATGCTGCCACCCCTGTGCTTCACGGTTGGGATGGTGTTCTTCTGCTTGCAAGCGTCCCCCTTTTTCCTCCAAACATAACAATGGTCATTATGGCCAAACAGTTCTATTTGTGTTTCATCAGACCAGAGGACATTTGTCCAAAAAGTACGATCTTTGTCCCCATGTGCAATCGCAAACCGTAGTCTGGCTTTTTTATGGCTGTTTTGGAGCATTGGCTTCTTCCTTGCTGAGCGGCCTTTCAGGTTATATCGATATAGGACTCGTTTTACTATGGATAAAGATACTTTTGTACCTGTTTCCTCCAGCATCTCCACAAGGTCCGTTGCTGTTGTTCTGGGATTGATTTGCACTTTTCGCACCAAAGTACGTTCATCTCTAGGAGACAGAACACGTCTCCTTCCTGAGCGGTATGACGGCTGCGTGGTCCCATGGTGTTTATACTTGCGTACTATTGTTTGTACAAATGAACATTGTACCTTCAGGCGTTTGGAAATTGCTCCCAAGGATGAACCAGACTTGTGGAGGTCTACAATTCTTTTTCTGAGGTCTTGGCTGATTTATTTTAATTTTCCCATGATGTCAAGCAAAGAGGCACTGAGTTTGAAGGTAGGCCTTGAAATACATCTACAGGTACACCTCCAATTGACTCAAATGATGTCAATTAGCCTATCAGAAGCTTCTAAAGCCATGACATCATTTTCTGGAATTTTCCAAGCAGTTTAAAGGCACAATCAACTTAGTGTATGTAAACTTCTGACCCACTGGAATTGTGATACAGTGAATTATAAGTGAAATAATCTGTCTGTAAACAATTGTTTGAAAGATTACTTGTGTTACGCACAAAGTAGAAGTCCTAACCGACTTGCCAAAACGATAGTTTGTTAAGAAAAAATGTGTGGAGTGGTTGAAAAACTAGATTTAATGACTCCAACCTAAGTGTATGTAAACTTCCGACTTCAACTGTAGATGTACAGTGAGCTCCAAAAGTATTGGGACAGTGACAATTGTTTTTGTTGTTCTGGCTCTATGCACATTGGATTTGAAATTATTCACTGGCTTTGAGGTTAAAGTGCAGACTGTCAGCCTTAAGTTGAGGGTATTTTGATCCATATCGGGTGAACCGTTTAGAAATTATAGCACCTTTTGTATATAGTCAACCGATTTTAGGGGATCAAAAGTATTGGGACAAATTCACTTATGGGTTAATGTGGATGCTACCATGGTTACAGATAATCCTGAATGAAATGTGAATAATGAGTAAGAAAGTTACAGAGGCATAAATATCATATCCACCCCCCAAAAAATGCTAACCTCCCCTGTTATTGTAATGGTGAGAGGTTAGCATGTCTTGGGGGTAAGAAGTCAGCCAAATGTTAAGTGGTTCTCTGGGTTATTGTGAGGCATTATTCACCTCATAAATCCTATGGTGTTGCCCTTAATGCCACCAATCAGCCAACACACCTGTCCTGTTGATTTAAGGTTTTGGAGATTTATTTTAAGTTCGCTTAATCCATTTGAAAACATCCAATTTATCTGACACGCTACCCAACAAAGCATATAGACTTTAGCTTAATCACAGCCCAGGTTTGAATGGTTTGTTTGTTGCATTCCTTACGTATGAACGTTGATAGTTGTGATTCAACCTCTTCCAGGCCTATTGTTAGCCTGAAATCCAGTCAGTTTCTGCTAACATTTCACTCCTTGTACTCTGTGTCATTGCCAAACTGTTTGTCATGACAAGGAGTGGCAAGGAGTGGAATGACAGCTAAACAGACTGGAACCCAGGCTAGGGTATTGTCCCTGGGAATATTGCACAATGTGTCACGTTTCCCCACTCCCCTGTAACCAGTGTATAAATGCCCAGCTAACAGGTGGGTTCTAGCAGGCAGCATCCAGATTTGGTAAGTCAGTACTCCTCTCAGATCACTAGTCATACTGTGTGGTTCAACAAAGTTAGATCTTTTTGGTTTGGTGAAATGAGTATATCTGAACTGACTAAGTTTGAAATGTTATAATACCCTCCAGAGAATGTGTATGTTTATGCTTACTATGCAAAAATGTATATATTTGATGTTTCATAACATTTGTTTTTTAACGTGGTTTATTGCAGTCTTGTGACAGTTGTCCTTTAAAATATATATATTTTTTTTTAATCACATAGATGACCTGTATAGATACAATTAAATCAAATCAAACATTTATTTAGAGTGCATTTAAAAGTGACTGCCTTTCCAGTAGAGGTAAATTGTGGCTAAAGTGTGGATGAATAAAATAAGTGTTTTTTCCTTCAGGTTGTGTTCCCCGTTTCTGCCCCTGTATAAGTAACTACTGTTGATGAGGATGATCTTGGTAGCTCTGCTGGGGCCTCTACTGGTTCTGTCCAGCACTGGACATACCTCAGGTACAGACAATTATACTATATATTTAATACATCTAAATATTTATGTATATTACATAATGAATACTATATATGACAAACAATACATCATTTTCTAAATTTGATTTTCTTTTTGAGTGTGTTATTTTAGTTCTGCCATATTGAGATAAAATATATTTGGTTAGAGTTGACAGTATAGGGATACATGTATTATGTATTAAGTATTGTATTTACTAAGTATTTATATACAGTATAATAGTATATAACCCACCACACAATTTACTTCTGTATTTTCTCTGCTCTTTAGTCTCAGAACCTAAAAATGGTTGCATCAAAACAATTCAGGTGTATCATGATACCACAACCTAAAAAGAAGATGAACCCATATATTCCCAAATTCCCACAGGTACGATTGTCACCAGCTGCGAGGCGTGTCACGAACAAGCCGTCTGCCACCACACCTCACTCATGGCAGGTGATATCACATGCACCTGTAAGAAGGGCTTCTCCGGCGACGGCCTCATCTGCACACCTGGCCACAACGACGCCGGCGCCGACCACCACGCCCCTCGCCGTGTCCGCCGCTCCTATCCCACCTCCAACAGCAACCTTGCCCATGTCCGGTTCAACTGCGGCTTTTATGAGTGCGCCGACGGGGAGGACTGCATCACGGTCGACGGCATCCAGCAGTGCGCCGACCCCTGCAAGAGACACACAGTGCTGAATGAAGCGTGGCGCTCCACTAACAACAATGAGGGCGAGAAGCACTGCGACCGCAACGTCCACTGGGATGGCTATTACCGCATGTTCATCGGTAACCAGAGTGTGTCCATGCCGGACAAGTGCGTGGAGTCGTTCATGTGCGGCACCCAGGCTCCCTTGTGGCTGGCGTTCCCTCACCCCCAGCAGGTGGATGCGATTGTCCGGAGTGCAGTCTGCGCCAGCTTCAGAGGGGTATGCTGCTGGGTGCAGTCTCAGCCCATCCACGTCAAGGCCTGCCCCGGGAACTACTTTGTGTACAAGTTCGTCATGCCGCCCGGGTGCTACTTCGCCTATTGTGCATGTAAGGTTTCGCTGTCTGCTTTTCCAAGTTCTGAGGGGGGCTTGGCTTGTTGTTGTTCTGCCTTTTGAATTGAAGTTATTGTAGCTTTTTTTTTTTTACTGTTTACTGCTTAGTAAAGCTGGTTATATACACCATGATGTTCTTCTTATGGCCCTAGATATCAACAGTACTCAGCATATTCATCCAGTACATTCATATAGGCCTATTGTATGATTCTAGTAATACCAGCATACTAGTTATTTCAAAACATGAGCGATGAATGTTCCCTCATAACTGTGTCTCCTGTTTAACTCCTTGTTCCAGATGTGGCAGCTCTCACCACAACACCAAAACCAGTCACAACAACAACTGCAACAACCACAACAACAAAAGCACCTGTAAAGGTCACCACGACAACACAAACACCAGTAAAAGACACCACAACAACACAAACACCTGTTAAGATCACCACGACAACACAAACACCTGTTAAGATCACCACGACACCGCAAACACCTGTTAAGATCACCACGATAATGCAAACACCTGTAAAGGTCACCACGACAACACAAACACCAGTAAAAGACACCACAACAACACAAACACCTGTTAAGATCACCACGACAACACAAACACCTGTTAAGATCACCACGACACCGCAAACACCTGTTAAGATCACCACGATAATGCAAACACCTGTAAAGGTCACCACGACAACACAAACACCAGTAAAAGACACCACAACAACACAAACACCTGTTAAGATCACCACGACAACACAAACACCTGTTAAGATCACCACGACACCGCAAACACCTGTTAAGATCACCACGATAATGCAAACACCTGTTAAGGTCACCACGACAACACAAACACCTGTAAAAGACACAATAACAACACAAACACCTGTTAAGATCACCACGGCAACACAAACACCCGTAAGAAACATCACTATGACAAAATCACCAGTAGATGTCACCTCGACAAAAACACCAGTAGACAACAATCGCACGACAACAACAACGCAGTCACAGGTTGCCATGACTACGCCAAAAGCCATGTGTGGTACCTGCAGAGCGGGGGAGACCTGCGTGAGCAATGATGGCGTCACCTGGTGGTGTGAGAGGCAAAGTGAGTCCTCAGAAAACACCTGATTGAGGTCCTATGTACACTCCTTGAAAAAAGGTGCTATCTAGAACCTAAAAGGGTTATTCGGCTGTCCCCATAGGAGAACCCTTTGAAGAACCCTTTTTTGGTTCCAGGTATAACCCTATTGGGTTCCAAGTAGAACCCCTTCCCTAGAGGGTTCTACCTGGAATCAAAAAGGGTTCTACCTGGAATCAAAAAGGGTTCTACCTGGAACCAAAAAGGGTTCTCCTATGGGGACAGCCGAAGAACCCTTTTGGAACCCTTTTTTCTAAGAGTGTATATGAGAATGTGTAATTCCTTCTTTTCATTTGGGGTTCTTGAATAACATTCTTTCCTGTTTTCTGTCTTTTCTTAACCCTCTCTCCCTCTCTTTCTCTCTTACAGATCAGCCTGTTTTGCTCCGCCCAGAGGTGGTGTGTGGGCGGAGCCTGATACAGGTGGGTCTCAACAGGACGAACCTGGAGGCCGCTGGTCTAGACGCCACCACTGCTAACCTGGCCGACCCCCGGTGCAACGTTCACGAAGAGCGTGACGGCATGGTATGGTACCAGGTGGAGCGCATGGAGGGCACCTGTGGAAACACTCTCGAGGTGAGAACCCCCCCCCCCGACCAGTTCACCCCGTTCCTCACCAAAACTTTCAACAGAGAACACTTGATGTGAGACATGTTGCCATCAACAGAAAATGATTAATTGATGAACTGAAATCCAATTGTCCAAGAATTGTATTGAGAACTGGTGAGAGGTCCTCTCCTAGCTTCTAATCTTCTTCCCTTTTCCCCCTTTTCCCAGACAAACGGAACTGACGCCATCTTCTCCAACAGTTTATTTGTCTACCACATTCGCAATGTATCATTCACCCGACCCGTGAGCGTGCCTTTCTCCTGTGCCTATCCTCTGGAATCAGAGACCAGCCTGGATGTGGCCATCAAACCCTACCTGTCGTAAGTGGAGACGTTACAGTAAACAATGTAGAACATGGACAATGTAACACAATGTAACACAATGTAACACAATGTAGAACAATGTAGGCTAACACATGTTGAACTGTCAGTATTCTGTTAATGCATAGACAGTTATTACTCTAAAACTGTGTTTCTTGATGATCCTTTAGATAGTTAAGAGGTTTTGCCCCTCCGTCCACTCATCACAGTACTGGTTGTTCTTGTTATTCCACGAAAATACTCAGTTGAAGCTGGCTGTGTAATTGTGTTAGCTTATAATATTAATAATAATAATCATTTATATCTTGCCTATGTAAAGTGACTTTGGGTGTCTTGAAAAGCGCTTCAAAAATAATGTGTATTTATTATTATTATTATTATTATTATTATTATTAATAAGAATAACAATTAATTGTATTTATCCTGTAAAGTGTATTTGTCAGACCCAAGGCACTTTGTTTGTCATTCATCATCTCTGACTGCATCTCTTATTAACTAAATCTCCTATTCACCCCTTTGACAGGCTGAAGGATGCCAAAGTCGGTAAGGGCTCCAAAGTGGGCTCCAACATGACTCTGTACCGCAACGACAACTTCACAGAGGCTTACCCAGCGGGCGGAGTCACCTTGCCGGTGGGTTCCGTGCTGCACGTGGGTGTGTCCGTAGAGGAGTCAGAGACGGAGCGTTTTGTGGTCGTTCTGGAGGACTGCTATGCCACGCAATCCCCCGACCCAGAGGACATCATGCGATACTACATCATTCAGAACAAGTATGTGTGTGTGTGTCTTGGTTCATACTCAAGGAACATATGGAGGAGGTTTTCCCAGACACAGATTAAGCCTAGTCCTGGACTATAAAACACTTTAAATGGAGCTTCTCCATTGAGAATGCTTTTTAATCCAGGACCAGGCTTTAATCTGTGTCTGGGAAACCGGCCCCTAATGTTTGTGTATTTTGTGTTGCGTTATCTAACTTAAACCCTGGCCCTCCCTGTTTCCTAGATGTCCGACTGAATTCCGTCAGGTGAGGGTGGAGGAGAGCGGCTCGTCCCTCAGGGCTCGCTTCTCCGCTCTGCTGTTCCTGTACCAGGGGGACTACCGGGACGTCTTCCTGCACTGCAGACTCAGCCTGTGTGACCAGAGGAGCTCCTCCTGCACTCCAGTGAGTCCTGCATCTTTCCCGCTGGCTCATCCACTCAGTTTGTGGTCTCTCTCTGGTCTCACTCATTTTGTGTGTGGTGGTTTCTGACACTTCTGAGTCTCTCTGTCTCAGTGTCTGGTCTCTCTGACTCTCCTGAGTCTCTCTGTCTCAGTGTCTGGTCTCTCTGACTCTCCTGAGTCTCTCTGTCTCAGTGTCTGGTCTCTCTGACTCTCCTGAGTCTCTCTGTCTCTCTGGTCTCTCTGTCTCTCTCTGGTCTCTCTGACTCCTTCTCGTCTCTCTCCTCAGGTGTGCGCCAAAAGGAAATACCGCTCTGTCACCTCTTCCGTCCCCCTCGAACCCCTCACCATCGGACCAATCACCTGTTAGTATGACCTCATAAGTTATTACTCAAAACCAATAAGTTAATAGATGTCAATCAAACAAATTATTTTGATGTCAGTGATGGACACTCAGGTAACTAACTAACTAACTAACTGTGTATTTGTTTTTGACATTCAGGGTCCCAAAATGAAGATTGATCTTCCTGAATCCCTGTCATGCTTCCTGTATCGTAAATAAACAATGCATCCAATTATCTAAATGATTTATGTGAAGTTCATAAACCTATCTCACCTATACATCATTTATGTCATAAACCAAACCATTTCATATTTCATATCCAGTTATAAAAAAGTATATTTTAAGGCTATTTTTATATTTCTTGTATGGCTAGAATAATTGGGAAAATATTTATTTTTGAACCAACACAAATTCATTGTTGAACCTTAAACTAAGGCTTGAGGACAGAAAGTGTATGTGCTGGACACACATCTCCCTTTTCTAGTTTGCACTGCAGCAATAACTTTTATTTTAAAGAAAATATTATTTAATCCTATTACTCTAAAATGCTTTGTATGTGCAGCAATTTAATAGTGTTAATAAAGATGATAAATGTATGTATCAATGTATTCATGTTTGAATAATGTACTGAGCATGTACTGGACCCATTGCTATAGCTTGGTTCTTTCTCATTGGGATCAGTCAAGACAATGACGAACCAGTAGGCGTCAGTATTACCACAAAAACACTGGTAGAAGTCTGCATCATCACGACACACAACAGCAGACTTAGAAAGAGGAAACAAACTGTCTACATATGTGAAAACTGCACATTTCTAAGTTTTGCAACAAAAATAAATAAAAAAGTTACAAAGTTCTACCCGATGACATCAACAAAAGTTTAAATCTTTTAAAAACATTGATTTTCAAATACTATGAGATTTGTGGTGAGGTGTGGAGCAAGAATATACCCTCCCTCTGGCTACAAAAACCCCTGGGTTTTTTAAAACTTTAGATCCTACTGTTTTTTAGGACCTTTCTTCTTATCTTTTTAACCACCGATCATAGAAACACGCCATTTTCACACTGGGGTCCGAAATGATTGACATCCTTGATAAATATGAGCAATAATGACTGTTTCAAAATACATGTTTCAAATACTGAGCTATATTTTATGCCAAAATAAAAGGGAAATTATATATTTTTTTACTGATACAATTGCTCAGAGAAATATATTTTGTTTAACAAGTAATACTTTTTTCTCTCAAAACGGTAGAGGTTAAAATTATTGACACCCCTAAAGATTCTTATAAATAATGTAGTCAAAAGTTTAGTATTTTGTCCCATACTCCCAAGACATGTTAACCTCCCCTGTTATTGGTAATGGTGAGAGGTTAGCATGTCTTGGGGGTATGTTCTTTGACCCTCTGTAACTTTCTCACTCATCATTATTCACGATTCATATAGGATTATCCGTAACCATGGTAGCATCCACATTAATGTAGAAGTGTTTAGAAACATATTCTATTCTTATTTACAATAAAAGTGACTCCAAAATGACAATACATTATTTACCATTAATTTCTATTGGGCACAAAATAATCTGAAACACAACCAAAACGAACTGCAAATGCATCCAACAAGTTTGTAGAGTCACAACCTTGATGTAGTTATTGCGTACTAGGAATATGGGACCAAATACTACATTTTTGACTACTTTATTGATAAGAATCTTTAGGGGTGTCACTAATTACCTTTTTGAGAGAAAAAGTATGACTTGTTAAAATATTTTTTTGTATCTGAGCAATTGTATAAGTATAAAATAATTTATACCACAGCATTGTTGAATATTAGTTTCTGATTGGCTAGAAGGGCATTCTAGAATGGACATTAAAACCAGATAATGAGACAGTTGAAAAAAATAAGATTTAAAAAATAAGATATCGGGACACCTTGCAATCAAACTCGGCTCTGTCTCGTCCCGCTGTGTCATCCATTATTTCCAAGGCAATGTACAGAACGTCTGCGTTTATCCCTTACATCATTCCACAATTTTTTTAGCATACAATATAGCTCAGTATTTGAATTATTTATTTTATACAGTCATAATTGATCATCTTTTTTCAAGGGTGTCAATAATCTCGGACCACACTGTACGTAGATACTGACATCGTGCTGGAGATAATTAATATGAGGTTGAAAAGTGGGGGAATTCTCCTTTTAATATTCTTTCTTCATGTTTTCAATCTCTTCATCTGTTTAAAAGTCATTATATTCTCCCGAGTGGTGCAGCGGTCTATTTTGTAAAGAAATAAGGTATTTTGTTTTTTATTTTTAATAAATGTGCAAACATTTCTAAAAACTTATTTTCACTTTGTCGTCATGGGGTATTGTGTGTAGATTGATAAGGAAAACAATTAATTTAATCAATTTTAGAATAAGGCTGTAACGTAACAAAATGTGGAAAAGGGGAAGGGGTCTGAATACTTTCCAAATGCAATGTAAGTATTCAACCCCCTGAGCCAATACATGTTAGGATCACCTTTGGCAGCGATTACAGCTGTGAACCTTTCTTTGTAAGTCTCTAAGAGATTTGCATACTTGGATTGTACAATATTTACAAATTATTATTTTAAGAAGTCTTCAAGCTTTGTCAAGTTGGTTGTTGATCATTGCTAGACAGCCATTTTCAAGTGTTGCCATAGATTTTCAAGCCAATTTAAGTCAAAACTGTAACTAGGCCCCTCAGGAACATTCAATGTCATCTTGGTAAGCAACTTCGGTGTAGATTTGGCCTTGTGTTTTAGGTTATTGTCCTGCTGAAAGGTGAATTTGTTACCCAGTGTCTGTTAGAAAGCAGACTGAACCAGGTTTTCTTCTAGGATTTTGCCTGTGCTTATAGCTGTATTCTGTTTATTTTTATCCTTAAAAAAAAAAAACTCCCTAATTCTTGCCGATGACAAGTATACCCATAACATGTTGCAACCACCACCTTGCTTGAAAATATGAAGAGTGGTACTCAGTGATGTGTTGTGTTGGATTTTCCCCAGACATAAAGCTTTGTATTCAGATATATAAAGTCAATTTATTTGCTAACATTTTTAGCAGTTTTACTTTAGTGCCTTTACTTTAGTGCCTCAGGAATGTATATCCTTATTTTCACACTGAGTATACGAAACATTAAGAACACCCGCTCTTTCCAAGACAGACTGACCAGGTGAATTCAGGTGAAAGCTATGATCCCTTATTGATGTCACTTGTTAAATCCACTTCAAATCAGTGTAGGTGAAGGGGAGGAGACAGGTTAATTCCTAAGAGTCTAAGCCGTTTGGGGGTTCAAAGCTAACATATGGAATTGTTTTAAGATGTTCATACCATGGATCCTTTAGCTATTTGATTTTGAATTTTGAACTTTAGGTATCCCGAAAAAATAAATAAATGATTTGATAAAATATTGAATTTGGACTTTGACTACTAAAGCCCATAGAAACACATTGAATAACACATTCATAAATGGAAAAAAAGACAGTTTTTAAAAAATCTTTATGAAAATGTTTTTGAATTGTCTGTCCTTTATCTAGGAGATATAAAAAAGCTCAGGAAATATATATATGTATATTATTTACATGTATTTAACCCAATTTTTTGGGGTAGGCACAAAACTACCTCCATACTTCCATTCATTTTAAAACTTTTACCGGTTACCTTCAGAGGAGTCCCATGAAACTTGTGGGACATAGAGCAAAATGGAGACCAATTTCACATGACTGGGCAGGGGCGCAGCCATGGGTGGGCCCGGTAGTGCATAGGCCCACCCACTTGGGAGCCAAGCCCAGCCAATGGGGAGCCAGGCCCAGCTTCCAGTATCTATGCTGCAATAGTCTATGTGCCAGGGGGCTAGGGTCCGACTGTTATATCTGGTGTAATTCTCCTGTCTTATCTGGTGTCCTGGGTGAATTTAAGTATGCTCCCTCTAATTATCTCTCTCTCCCTCTCTCCCTCCCCTCTCCCTAGGACCATGCCTCAGGACCACCTGGCCTGATGACTCCTGGCTGTCCCCAGTCCACTTGGTCGTGCTGCTGATTGAGTTTCAACTGTTCTGCCTGCGGCTATGGAATCCTGACCTGTTCACCGGACGTGCTACCTTGTCCCGGAACCTGCTATTTTGACTCTCTCTCTCTCTCTCTCTCTTTCTACCGCACCTGCTGTCTCGACCTCTGAATGCTCGGCTATGAAAAGCCAAATTACATTTACTCCTGAGGTACTGACCTGTTGCACCCTCTACAACCACTGTGATTATTATTTGACCCTGCTGGTCATCTATGAACGTTTGAACATCTTGAAGAACAATCTGGCCTTAATGGCCATGTACTCTTATAATCTCCTCCGGCACAGCCAGAAGAGGATTGGCCACCCCTCAGAGCCTGGTTCCTCTCCAGGTTTCTTCCTAGGTTCCTGCCTTTCTAGGGAGTTTTTCCTAGCCACCGTGCTTCTACATCTGCATTGCTTGCTGTTTGGGGTTTTAGGCTGGGTTTCTGTATAGCACTTTGTGACATCTGCTGATGTAAAAAGGGCTTTATAAATAAATGTGATTTGATTTGAATCAGAAATAGTTTTTCCCCACAAAAGGGCTTTATTATAGGCATAAATACTCCTCAGTTTCATCAGTTGTCCGGGTGGCTGGTCTCAGACAATCCCGCAGGTGAAGAAGCCAGAAGTGGCGGTCCTGGGCTGGCGTAGTTATACGTGGTCTGCGGTTGTGAGGCCGGTTGGACGTACTCCCAAATTCTCTACAACGACGTTGGAGGTGGCTTATGGTAGAGAAATTAAGTTTCAATTCTCTGGTAACAGCTGTGGTGGACATTCCTGTAGTCAGCATGCCAATTGCACGCTCCCTCAAAACTTGAGACATCTGTGGCATTGTGTTGTGTGACAAAACTGCACATTTTAGAGTGGTATAATAATAATAATATAATATGCCATTTAGCAGACTCTTTTATCCAAAGCGATTTACAGTCATGTGTGCATACATTTTTATGTATGGGTGGTCCCGGGGATCGAACCCACTAACCTGGCGTTACAAGCACCATGCTCTACCAATTGAGCTACAGAGGACCAGCTACAAATACCACTACTGGTATTTTATTATCCCCAGCACAAGGTGCACATGTGTAATGATCATGCTGTTTAATCAGCTTCTTGATATGCCACACCTGTCAAGTGGATGGATTATCTTGGCAAAGGAGAAATGTTCACTAACAGAGAGTGAGAAATACGATTTTTGTGCGTATGGAACATTTCTGCGATCTTTTTATTTCAGCTCACGAAACATGGGGCCAACACTTTACATATTGCGCTTACATTTTTGTTCAGCATACTTCCATTCATGGTCTGACACACACCGCTGTAGCTCTGCCACCTTTCACCTTTCAGATGCGGAAGGCCGACATCGGCGGATGCGATGGATTGAGAAGCAGCCCATGCAAAAAAACAGATATCTCTAGCTTAAACAGACAGATTTTTATGGTGATTTTTTTATGATGCTAATTACATTTCCGCAGGGGCGTGGACATCGACTCTAAGGGGTTTTAACACAGTGTACACAGTCTCCATCACAGGTAAAGACGCCACAGGGGCAAACATGAACAGGGTATTACCATAGTCCATTACAGGCAAGAAGATGGTGGAAACAAGTCCCTTTCTCGCTTCAAAAGAAAGACTATAAAATAAAATAAACCCCCAACTTGAGCCTAAGCTTTTTCCTCAAGACCTTCTATGTGGGTTTCAAGGTGAGACACTCATCTAACAAGAAACCCAAGTACGTGTAAGTTGATACCCTTTCTATCTGCATGTCCTGCATAGTGACTATACATAGAAGAGTCTGAGGTTTCATCTTAGATTTTCTGAAAACCATAAACTTTGTCTTATTTGAACTGAAAAGCAACTTCAGCTGACAGAGCTGAGCCTGGACAACAGTAACGGCACATTGCAGTTCATCAAAGGCCTTTATTCAGTGTTGCTGCACAATAAATAACCGTGTCATCAGCATAAACATGAACTAGCGTTTGACACATTTTTACCAACTTTATTAATATAAACAGTAAACAACAGGGGTCCAAGAACAGAGCCCTGTGGCACCCCCTTCTGGAGAGTTGCCATCAAACTGGACACACTGAGTTCTATCTGACAGGTAGCTCTTGAACCATGAGACTGCCTGATCAGATAATCCTATGTTGACAAGTCTTTGCAACATGATGTCATGATCAATGGTGTCAAAAGCCTTTGACAGATCAATGAAAAGGGAGACATAGTGCTGTTTCTTGTCCATGGCATCAATTCTATCATTAATATAGAGGCGAAAGAAACGCACACCTATTTAGGCGAGGTGCTGGCTAACGGAGTAGAACACTTGATAAAGAAAAGGAAAGCAGCACACTCTAGGAGCTCAGATGCAATAATTTAATATCCTAATAACCAACGTTTCGACAGACAAGCTGTCTTCATCAGGGTATAATGACAAACACTGAGGGTCACTAGTTTATATAGTGTCAAAGGACACACGCAGGTGTCTGTAATCATGGCCAGGTGTGGCCTAATAGCATTGGTTAATTCACAGATAAACAGAACATACAAAAAACTGTTCTCTGGAATAAAATAACACGATTTTTGGGCTATTCAACACCCTAAAATTACCACTTTCTATACTTTGCCAAAATTACACAAGAATGTTACAAAACCTCCAGGGCGCCATATTGTAGCGGGCATTGATGCAGTAACAGCCCCTTTATCAACCTTTGTTGACGTTTTTATTAGACCTCTCGCAGAACAGCTCCCCTCCTTTGTAAAGGACACCAGCAGTATGATCTCTATGATTGAATCTCTTGATCCTCTCCCTGTGTGTGACCTTTGACACTATATAAACTAGTGACCCGCAGTGTTTGTCATTATACCCTGATGAAGACAGCTTGTCTGTCGAAACGTTGGTTATTAGGATATTAAATTATTGCATCTGAGCTCCTAGAGTGTGCGGCTTTCCTTTTCTTTATCAATTCTACCATTAACTACTTTTGTTGCCGCAGTAGTAGCGCCATGCTGTTTTCTGAAGCCTGATTGAAATGTAGATCAAATGAAATTGACACAGAAAAACTCATTTAATTGCCTGCCTTTCAACTACACATAGGGGAAGAATCAGAAAGACCAGTGCTGGAATTCTTTGAATGTTGGTTGTTATCAGGAGAAAATTCTCAGAGCAGGCTCAATTTGAGCAACTGCCATTTTCTGTTTTTTTTACCTAAACAGGAACCAGAAAGATCAGTTTTAGGGTACTGGAATTCTTTGCAGTTTGGTTGTTTTCAGTTTTTGAAAAGGCAGAGGCTGCACGACCGTTGCAATATCCTTATTCTAAATGTGGGGTGAAACCAAACGCATTTAGCCTACATGACAACATCACATGTAACATGTAGCCTAGCCCTGTCTACACATTGCATTGGTGCAATCATTCTGCATTTTAACCACATACAACGGTTATTTTGCTTCTCAATGATTATGCAACACCTAACAATTTGAAATTCACCAGAGTAGCCTGTTCCACCTCTGGGCAGCCCAACTAGCACATGTGCAGAAGGTGCGGTTGTTTAGCCCATTGGGAAAAGAATCCGGTCACACAGTGGCGTGCTAAATAGTAGGCCGTATGAACATGCAGATTTTTTACATTTATATATAGTATGTGACATTTCTAGAATCAAGTATACTTTGAATACCTGGATGTCATACTCATTTTGGCTTTGACAACAGCTGATAATTACATTTTAGTCATTCAGCAGACGCTCTTATCCAGAGTGCATACATTTTCTTTCTTTTTCGTACTGGTCCCCCAAGGGAATCGAACCCACAACCCTGGAAGTGCTCTTAGAAATGGGGATGTGCTACCGAAATGAACGAATAGCGGGAAAACGACACATTCGTGCATGACACATTCTCAGTATGTGAAAATAAGTGTGATAGTATATGAATTTTCAAAAATCGAGTATGCTTTAAATGACAGGATGTTATACTCATTTCTGCTTTTCATGTAGTAAAATTTGTGGCACACTTTTCTGAAAAATTTTTGCTGCACACAGCTAGAGCCTTTGTTGATAGCTGGAGCTCTTCAAGTAAACAACTTGGAAGATGGCGAATAGCGAAGCTTCTGCGGTGGTGTTCAAATGTAAGTTGTTTTTGTACATCTTTGAAAACAGATTTGCAGCCTGCTGCCTGCTGTGCCTTTATCTAGCTATGTGCTTTAGTAGGACTAGAAGTTATACAGTGAGGGAAAAAAAGTATTTGATCCCCTGCTGATTTTGTACGTTTGCCCACTGACAAAGACATGATCAGTCTATAATTTTAATGGTAGGTTTATTTGAACAGTGAGAGACAGAATAACAACAACAAAATCCAGAAAAACGCATGTCAAAAATGTTATAAATTGATTTGCATTTTAATGAGGGAAATAAGTATTTGACCCCCTCTCAATCAGAAAGATTTCTGGCTCCCAGGTGTCTTTTATACAGGTAACGAGCTGAGATTAGGAGCACACTCTTAAAGGGAGTGCTCCTAATCTCAGTTTGTTACCTGTATAAAAGACAACTGTCCACAGAAGTAATCAATCAATCAGATTCCAAACTCTCCACCATGGCCAAGACCAAAGAGCTCTCCAAGGATGTCAGGGACAAGATTGTAGACCTACACAAGACTGGAATGGGCTACAAGACCATCGCCAAGCAGCTTGGTGAGAGGGTGACAACAGTTGGTGCGATTATTTGCAAATGGAAGAAACACAAAAGAACTGTCAATCTCCCTCGGCCTGGGGCTCCATGCAAGGTCTCACGTCGTGGAATTGCAATGATCATGAGAACGGTGAGGAATCAGCCCAGAACTACACTGGAGGATCTTGTCAATGATCTCAAGGCAGCTGGGACCATAGTCACCAAGAAAACAATTGGTATCACACTACGCCGTGAAGGACTGAAATCCTGCAGCGCCCGCAAGGTCCCCCTGCTCAAGAAAGCACATATACATGCCCGTCTGAAGTTTGCCAATGAACATCTGAATGATTCAGAGGAGAACTGGGTGAAAGTGTTGTGGTCAGATGAGACCAAAATCGAGCTCTTTGGCATCAACTCAACTCGCCGTGTTTGGAGGAGGAGGAATGCTGCCTATGACCACAAGAACACCATCCCCACCGTCAAACATGGAGGTGGAAACATTATGCTTTGGGGGTGTTTTTCTGCTAAGGGGACAGGACAACTTCACTGCATCAAAGGGACGATGGACAGGGCCATGTACTGTCAAATCTTGGGTGAGAACCTCCTTCCCTCAGCCAGGGCATTGAAAATGGGTCGTGGATGGGTATTCCAGCATGGCAATGACCCAAAACACACGGCCAAGGCAACAAAGGAGTGGCTCAAGAAGAAGCACATTAAGGTCCTGGAGTGGCCTAGCCAGTCTCCAGACCTTAATCCCATAGAAAATCTGTAGAGGGAGCTGAAGGTTCGAGCTGCCAAACGTCAGCCTCGAAACCTTAATGACTTGGAGAAGATCTGCAAAGAGGAGTGGGACAAAATCCCTCCTGAGATGTGTGCCAACAAGGGTTTTGCCACCAAGTACTAAATCATGTTTTGCAGAGGGGTCAAATACTTATTTCCCTAATTGAAATGCAAATCAATTTATAACATTTTTGACATGCGTTTTTCTGGATTTTGTTCTTGTTATTCTGTCTCTCACTGTTCAAATAAACCTACCATTAAAATTATAGACTGATCATGTCTTTGTCAGTGGGCAAACGTACAAAATCAGCAGGGGATCAAATACTTTTTTTCCCTCACTGTAGTTTAAATAAGTAGTAGGATTAGTACACAGTATGTATATTAAGTAAGTAGTAGGATTAGTACACAGTATGTAGTTTAAGTAAGTGGTAGGCAAGACAGATTTCAGACACGGCCAGCTACTGTTTTGTTTAAGTCACCTGCCCAATGGGTCAACCTCGGAGCAGGCTCAACTTGCGTGACTGCTCCGTTCACTTGCCCAAGGCAATAGGGCAACCTTTAATGTCAGTCACTGGCCATTTGAAACGATCACTCCCCTCTTCGGCATTTGTATATAAATCAAGCAGGTTTGGTACATTCTACCATACTCTAGGAGACAGAGGCCATAACGTAAGCATCAAGACAATACCACAAACAGGCTCACTCCAGACTGGTAAGATTACCTAAGCTTTGAGTTGCTGTTAATCAAATTTCTCATCTTGTTTTTGGTATATTCAGCTATATTTTTGGGGGGGTTTAGTTTCCACTGCCCTCCAAGATTGTTGAATTTCCTCTTCACTTCAGTTTGCTCCTCACAATTTTACACTTCTTGGTATTTTTTTTTCTCAGTCCTGTGTCTGATCTGAAGAGATGCTGAATGGAATGATGTCACTGGGTGTTCTGCTGGTGCTCCTGTTCTTTAAGCATGTTACTGCAGACAGCTCAGGTAAAGGGTTGATTGTCTTATTCACGTTTAGGTGAAGGAATGAGAGCTCCACTCAGAATATTGCTGCTTGCTTTATTCCTGCACCCAAAACAGCCATGTTCCGTGTGCGGACGTCTCGTTCCTTTATCTCACTGTATTATGTATTAATTGCCCAGCACTTGTATTCTCAAGTTTAGGATGATTTATTGCCAATGTTTCAATTCTGGAGAGAGAGATTAGCTTTCATCCCAAATGGCTTCCTAATCCCTATATAGTGCACTACTTTTGACCACAGCCTATGGTTATCACAAGGGACGGTTCTACATTTACAGAACGGGGACCTGGAGGAAAATGGGGGAGGGCCATGCTTTTTAAATCTCAGTGAAGGGGATGTTTTTTGTGTTTTGTTTTTTTACATCTAGTCCAGAGGAGGATCATGTAATTTGTAATTGATGACATTTCAACATTTGTCAGTGTTTTAGAATTAGTTGCTTATTAGGTTATATCTCGATGTGTGCCCGATGCCACCCCTCAGTTCTGATTCTCCACTGGCCGCAAAATATTAAGTTCGCCTACAGGCTTTTTAGTGTGGTCTCAATCAAATGATCCATAGTTTATAGACTTATAGGCCTAGGCTATACGAAGTGCATGCTCTGAGAGGCACAGAGCAAAGTTATATTTCTAAGAAAATGTACTTCCTTCCCAAGTCTTTTGCGCTGCTGGGATGGTGTAAATAAAACTAGGCTGCATTACACTGTAATCAATGGAGGCTGCTGAGGGGAGGACGGCTCATAATAATGGCTGGAATGGAGTAAATGGTTGGAATGGAGTGAATGGAATGGTATCAAACTCATGAGAAAAAAAAAAACATTTTAGATACCATTACATTTACTCCATTCCGGCCATTTTTATGAGCTGTCCTCGCCTCATCAGGCTCCACTGGCTGTAAGGTTTTTTTTGTGGTGCCTAACCAATGTCTGTGCTGTGTACGGTGGCAGTAATTCATTTCAGCCGTCTTCATTTTAATTAGACTTAACTAACAACAAGAGGGCTTTTTGATGGAGCCTATTTCTTCCTATTTAAACTATCTGTCCAGTGTTCCAGATTTCTATGAAATATTCCCCTAAAATGAATTACAATATGAAATAAATAGCTAAACGTCCGTACAAATAAATATAATTAATGATGTTAAAAAGCAGCTTTTTTTTTTGTTTCTCCTGCTTGGCCTGTTAGGAAACAACAGTAAGTCAGTAAGTCGCTCTGGATAAGAGCGTCTGCTAAATGACTAAAATGTAAATGTAAATGTAAACAGAGTGGTTTGGGTGTATACTGGTCAAAATCAGCTGATTTGACAGCTGTGATTGGCTGGCTGGCTTTAGAACTATGGAGCGTGCCACTGCAGGGAGGGAACACTGAACAGCTATGAAATTATTGTTATTTTCAAATACAAATCTCTTTTTGTGGTCAATTTGCCCATGGCTGAATCTAGTTGCCTAACCCTGCTGCATGCGTTTGTCCGAGAATGTTATTTATGTCCCTTATCAACTGAGGTGAATGAAGTGACAGTAACCAAGGTGATGACGGCTGGAGTAATTCTTGCTTGTTTTTGCTGTTCTCCAAATATCATTTTAAAGCTTTTTTTTTATTGTGTAGAAATGCAGTAAATAAGCTTCAAAAACTTCCTTGGAGGTAAAAAAAATAGTTGCCACTGAACTTATTTAACTTGAATATTTTCCCTATGATTTATTTGAATAAATTAGGGCAGATACAAATTAACAGTTGAAACAGTTATTCAATACAATGCATTGTAGTTTAAGCCAATTTTCATCGCTATTCATGACACAATTTGGTGATTTCCCATGGACACCCTTGACTGGTTCTTGGTCCCACCCTTGGCTTCCCCATTTAAAAGAGTATAGAAACACCCCTGATAAGAGAACACCCCTTTTTGACAGACAAAATTATAGGCTGCTGGGAAATTCCACGGTTTACGTTAAAATGTATGCCAAAAAATATATATATATTTCAAAGTTGAACAAACCATACAACTCTATGCAGAATGACTACTTAAAACAATTTACACAGACATTTTTACAAAAACACATTTACTGGAAGAACTGTGCAGATGCAAAGTTTGGTAACAGAATTTCAGTCAAATCTACCTCCGTTTTTTATGTGACCACGTTTTTCACAAACTCTGTGAAATATCAGCTCCGAATAAAGATTCAAAGATTTGTAAAGAAGGAATAGGGTGTCAGCTATTATATGACTCCTTGGGTTTGAAAAAATATATTTTGGTTATTGAACTACAGTGAGTGAAGTGAATTTACACCCGGTAACAGAATTGAGGTAACGGAATTTCATCATGGGTCCCTGATCTGTACTACACAGAAATACATAATTATGGATATGAATGTCATTCTCTTCATGGTGATGTATCAGGTACACAAAGGTGGAAATATGATATCCTCATTTGCATATTGGGTATTATTCTACACACTGGTTATTATTTTAATGAGCTCCGCCCCCAAACAAGACCAAATTTGGACCGGACCAAATCTGAACCAATCATAGACGTCAATGTTAGACAAGTTTGGATGTCAGCGGACAGCACAGTAGAGCTCAGTAGAGTACAGTACTGTACAGTACAATACATTATGGCAACCATGTTCTGTGTATGTTTGATGTGACGTTGATGGAATATTCTCCTAACCCTCAGAAAACTAATGTTGTACAGTGCATTGGGAAAGTATTCAGACCCCTTGACTTTTTCCACATTTTGTTACGTTACAGCCTTATTCTAAAATGGATTTGCTATGAGACTCAAAATTGAGCTCAGGTGCATCCTGTTTCCATTCACCATGCTTGAGATGTTTCTACAACTTGATTGGAGTCCACCTGTGGTAAATTCAATTGATTGGACATTAATTGTAAAGGCACACAACTGTCTATATAAGGTCCCACAATTGACAGCGCATGTCAGAGCAGAAATCAAGCCACGAGGTCAAAGGAATTGTCCGTAGAGCTTTGAGACAGGATTGTGTCGAGACACAGATCTGGGGAAGGGTACCAAAGCATTTCTGCAGCATTGAAGGTCCCCAAGAACACAGTGGCCTCCATCATTCTGAAATGGAAGAGGTTTAGAACCACCAAGACTCTTCCTAGAGCTGGCCGCCCAGCCAAACTGAGCAATCGGGGGAGAAGGGCCTTGGTCAGGGAGGTGACCAAGAACCCGATGGTCACTCTGACAGAGCTCTAGAGTTCCTCTGTGGAGATGGGAGAACCTTCCAGAAGGACAACCATCTCTGCAGCACTCCACCAATCAGGCCTTTATGGTAGAGTGGCCAAACGGAAGCCACTCCTCAGTAAAAGGCACATGACTGACCGCTTGGAATTTGCCAAAAGGCACGTAAAGGACTCTCAGACCATGAGAAACAAGATTCTCTGGTCTGATGAAACCAAGATAGAACTATTTGGCCTGAATGCCAAGCGTCACGTCTGGAGGAAACCTGGCATGCTACGGTGAAGCATGATGGTGGCAGCATCATGCTGTGGGGATGTTTTTCAGCGGCAGGGACTTGGAGACTAGTCAGGATTGAGGGAAAGATGAACGGAGCAAAGTACAGAAAGCTCCTTGATGAAAACCTGCTCCAGACCGCTCAGGATCTCAGACTGGGGTGAAGGTTCACCTTCCAACAGGACTACGACCCTAAGCACACAGCAAAGACAATTCAGGAGTGGCTTCGGGACAAGTTTCTGAATGTTCTTGAGTGGCCCAGCCAGAGGCCGGACTTGAACCCGATAGAACATCTCTGGAGATACCTGAAAATAGCTGTGCAGCGATGCTCCCCATCCAACCTGAAAGAGCTTGAGAACATATGCAGAGAAAAATGGGAGAAACTCCCCAAATTCAGGTGTGCCAAGCTTGTAGCGTCATACCCAAGAAGACTCGAGGCTGTAATCGCTGCCAAAGGTGCTTCAACAAAGTACTGAGTAAAGGGTCTGAATACTTATGTAAATGTGATATTTCAGTATTTCTAAAAACCTATTTTTGCTTTGTCATTATGGGGTATTGTGTGTAGATTGATGAGGGGGAAAAACAATTTAATCAATTTTTGAATAAGGCTGTAATGTAACAAAATGTGGAAAAAGTCAAGGGGTCTGAATACTTTCCGAATGCACTGTATATTATGAGAAAATGGCAACCATGTTCTGTGTATGTTTGGTGGAACGTTGATGGAATATTCTCCTAACCCACAGAAAACTGGTCACATTAATGTTCTAAAATGCGTCTAGAACATTAATGTTGTATATTCGGAGAACATTGTAACCCCATTCTAGATAAGTTCTGCTTGACATTAAAGGAATGTTCTCCTAACTTTAACACCAAAACATGCTACGAAGGTTCTCCGAAGGTTTTTGTTAACATAGATAGAATGTTCCCCTAACTAACGGAAAACTGGAAACTCAAACATTACGGGAACATTACAGGTAATATTACAAAAACGTTCTCTCTCCCTAGAATTGATAGCTGGGATGGTGGAAGGCAAAGGTGTGCAATGCCTTGTAGTTTAGTTTCTTTTTAATGACTGTGTTTCTGACAGTAGGGAGTATCCATTCTCACCTTGGCTGACAGTAATTGTACCTTCCCTTGTTTCTCTCTCTTTCATTCTTTCATTCAACTACAACTCCCTTAATAGCTGATCCCTGCCAGCACTACACCGTACTGAATGATGGCTGGCGTGCCACCAACAACAATGTCAACGTTAATGGCTACCACTGCGACAAGTATGTCAACTGGCAGGGCTGGTATCGCCTTTTCCTGGGGAACACCAGTGTTCAGATGCCAGAGAGGTGTGTGGAGAGGTACATGTGTGGGACTGCCTTCCCCATGTGGCTCACAGATCCCCATCCCCAGCTGTCAGACGGGGTGGTTCAGAGGGGGGTCTGTGGGAGCTTTGCTGGTAACTGTTGCATGTTAAGAGAAAATCCTATCCTTGTCAAAGCCTGCTATGGAAACTACTATGTCTACAAGTTTGTCCATCCAACAGCGTGCAGCTTGGCCTACTGTGCAGGTATGTACCATCGTAATGTTCTTGTCACTGACTTTTAAAGACAACAATGCTTAAGACAATAGTGTGTGGAATTCTCTATCAAGAATGTTTAAGACAATAGTGTGTGGAATAACCTAACTAGTCACACCAAATCCATGAACCCCCCTTCCCCTCTGCTGTTCCAGACGTCAACACCAAGGTGTGTTCTACCTGTAGAAACGATGAGACCTGTATGAGTGACAACAAGATCAACTGGAGGTGCAAGAGGAAAGGTGAGTGTTAAGAAAAACACATCTTACTCCTCAGTGTATATACAGTATGTTGTGTCAGGACCATGGTGGAAGGCAAAGGTGTACAGTGTCTTGTAGTTGAGTTTCTTAATGTCTGTATTTTTGACAGTAGGGAGAACTCATGCTCATATTGACTGATAGTAACTCTATACCTTGTTTTTTCTCTGTCTCTTTCATTCTCTCTCCATTCTCCCTCTCAGTCACCCTCCTCTCATTTTACTCTCTCAAAGAGCAATCTTCTACAGCTATCCCTAAACCCACAACTACAACAACTACACTTGTACCAAAAACCACCACCACAACTAGAGTACTTAAAACTACCACTACAACTCGAGTACCTAAAACCACCACAACTAGAGTACTTAAAACTACCACTACAACTCGAGTACCTAAAACCACCACAACTAGAGTACTTGAAACTACCGCTACAACTCGAGTACCTAAAACCACCACAACTAGAGTACTTGAAACTACCGCTACAACTCGAGTACCTAAAACCACCACAACTAGAGTACTTGAAACTACCGCTACAACTCGAGTACCTAAAACCACTACAACAACTCGAGTACCTGAAACCACCACAACTAGAGTACTTGAAACTACCACTACAACTCGAGTACCTAAAACCACCACAACTAGAGTACTTGAAACTACCGCTACAACTCGAGTACCTAAAACCACTACAACAACTCGAGTACCTGAAACCACCACAACTAGAGTACTTGAAACTACCACTACAACTCGAGTACCTAAAACCACTACAACAACTCGAGTACCTGAAACCACCACAACTAGAGTACTTGAAACTACCACTACAACTCGAGTACCTAAAACCACCACAACTAGAGTACTTGAAACTACCGCTACAACTCGAGTACCTAAAACCACTACAACAACTCGAGTACCTGAAACCACCACAACTAGAGTACTTGAAACTACCACTACAACTCGAGTACCTAAAACCACTACAACAACTCGAGTACCTGAAACCACCACAACTAGAGTACTTGAAACTACCACTACAACTCGAGTACCTAAAACCACTACAACAATTCGAGTACCTGAAACCACCACCACAACTAGAGTACCGGAAACCATCACGAAAACTCGAGTACCTGAAACTACCACTACAACAACTCAGGTACCTGAAACCACCACTACAACAACTGGAGTACCTGAAACCATCACCACAACTCAAGTACCTGAAACCACCACCATAACTCCAGTACCTGAAACCATCACCACAACTCTAGTACCTGAAAACACCACCACAACTCCAGTACCTGAAACCACCACCACAACTCATGTACCTGAAACTACCACTACAACAACTCCAGTACCTGAAACCACCACCACAACTCCAGTACCTGAAACTACCACTACAACAACTCCAGTACCTGAAACCAACACTACAACAACTGGAGTACCTGAAACCACCACCACAACTCCAGTTACTGAAATTACCACAACAACGCGAGTACCTGAAACCATCACCACAACTCGAGTACCTGAAACTACCACTACAACAACTCGGGTACCTGAAACCACCACCATAACTCCAGTACCTGAAACCATCACAACAACTCTAGTACCTGAAACCACCACCACAACTCCAGTACCTGACACTACCACTACAACAACTCCAGTACCTGAAACCACCACCACAACTCGTGTACCTGAAACTACCACTACAACAACTCAAGTACCTAAAACCACCACCATAACTCCAGTACCTGAAACCACCACCACAACTAGAGTACCTGAAACTACCACTACAACAACTCAAGTACCTAAAACTACCACTACAACAACTTGTGTACCTGAAACTACCACTACAACAACTCCAGTACCTGAAACTACCACTACAACAACTCCAGTACCTGAAACCACCACCACAACTCGTGCACCTGAAACTACCACTACAACAACTCAAGTAACTAAAACCACCACCATAACTCCAGTACCGGAAACCACCACCATAACTCCAGTACCTGATCCACCACTACAACAACTCCAGTACCTGAAACCACCACCACAACTCCAGTAACTGAAACCACCACCACAACTCCAGTACCTGAAACCACCACCACAACTCCAGTACCTGAAACTACCACCACAACGAGTACCTAAAACTACTACAACAATTTGATTACCTGAAACCACCACCACAACTCGAGTACCTGAAATGACCACAACAACTAAAGTACATGAAACCATCACATTTACATTTTAGTCATTTAGCAGACGCTCTTATCCAGAGCGACTTACAGTTAGCGAATACATATATATTTTTTTTTAAACTGGCCCCCCGTGGGAATCGAACCCACAACCCTGGCGTTGCAAACACCATGCTCTATCAACTGAGCTACATCCCTGCCGGCCATTCCCTCCCCTACCGACGCTGGGCCAATTGTGCGCCACCCATGAGTCTCCCGGTCGCGGCTGGCTGCGACAGAGCCTGGATTCGAACCAGGATCTCTAGTGGCAGAGTTAGCACTGCGATGCAGTGCCTTAGACCACTGCGCCACAACTCGGGTACCTGAAACTACCACTACAACAACTCAAGTACCTAAAACCACCACCATAACTCCAGTACCTGAAACCACCACCACAACTCCAGTAACTGAAACCACCACCACAACTCCAGTACCTGAAACTACCACCACAACTGGAGTACCGTGTGGCTCAGTTGGTAGAGCATGGCACTTGCAAAGCCAGGGTTGTGGGTTCGATTCCCACGGGGGACCAGTGTGAAAATGTATGAACGCACTACTGTACGTCGCTCTGGATAAGAGCGTCTGCTAAATGACGTGAATGTAAATGAGTACCTGAAACCATCACCACAACTCGAGTACCTAAAACTACCACTACAACAACTTGTGAACCTGAAACTACCACTACAACAACTCCAGTACCTGAAACCACCACTAAAACAACTCCAGTAACTGAAACCACAACGAGTACCTAAAACCACTACAACAATTAGAGTAACTGAAACCACCACCACAACTAGAGTACCTGAAACCACCACAACAACTCGAGTACCTGAAACTACCACTACAACAACTCGGGTACCTGAAACCACCACTACAACAACTGGAGTACCTGAAACCATCACCACAACTCAAGTACCTGAAACCACCAACACAACTCCAATACCTGAAACCAACACTACAACAACTTGAGTACATGAAACCACCACTAAAACAACTTGAGTATCTGAAACAACAACCACAACAACACCTGAACCCAAAACAACAGCACCTGTAGCTGACACAACAACGACGACGACTAAGACCACTACCACAGCAGCCCCTAAACCTGCAACAAATACATCAACTCACACCATACCCGTCACCACCACCAAGGCAACACTATCACAGCTCCAGAGCTGGTGTGTGGGCGGAGCCTGGTACAGGTGGGTCTCAACAGGGTTTACCTGGTGGCTGCTGGTCTGAACGCTTCCATAGCTCACCTGGCTGACTCCAGTTGCTCCGCCCACCAGGAGGCTCACGGCACGGTGTGGTACCAGATGGCGTGCAGGGAGGTACACTGTGGAAACACTTGGGAGATTAGAACACATTACCTCAATGTCTGACTGGAGGTTGTTCAATACTGGAAGAGTTTAGATGATTATTAGCTTGGTTTCCATCCAATTGGTGACAGATTTTCATGCGAATATTCTAAAACCTGCGAAAGAAAATATGCGTATTTTCCCACCAGTGGTGTGTTTCTACCAAACGGACTTGTTTCAGATAAAAATCAGTGGGTGATGATGTAGTGCTCACAAAATGTACATTTTCACTTAAGTTTTCATGTACCAAATAAAATCTAAAGTTCAATGTGTTTCCATCTCATTTCCAACTCTACCGATAGTTTTGTCACAAAAACTGTTGCGTTAAATAGCAAATGTGCCTACTCTGGTCTTGGCACGTGCGTTCTAGCCAACAGCTCGCAGATAGCGGGTAGGCTAGTCTACATGATGAGATTATTATGGATAATAGCAATAATATTTTATTTGTCAAACAGCAGTCGAGCATTGATCATCATGTCACCGGAATAAGACCCTGGATATTTATTGGAAAGGAGCGTCAATCTCACAGTGCACTTTCACCACCCTGTGAAGTTCATCATAACTTATTTCATCTGGAGCCTAATAAACTGCCCAGCACAACCAAATAACTCTCAAGGGCACATAATTACTTTTATTGAATATTGTAAAGAATTTATGCAATACAGTGTGATTTCATTGTACTGTATATGTTGTTTATACATAGACTTGTGTAAGTGCCAACCAAATCTGAGTTGCTGTGTGTGTTGCTGTGATCTGATGAAGACAATTAATAACTCTGATGATGATGATGCTCATTGTCTAATGATAGTCTATTTAGTTGTCTATTTGCCCTGCAGTAAACAGTTTACGCCAGCAGGGGGTAATGTAGACTAATAAATAGACTAGCCGTGTCAAATGGACACCATGCGAGTTTCCCGTCCCTTCGTCATTTGACTTCGAACTGTTGCCTACTTATTTAGTTATTTCTTAATGTAGGCTATAAAGGGGCCATCTGCAGTTGCTACATCGATTTTTGAACTTAATGATAAACCCATTGATTACATTTTTTTCACATCAATTTTTTATTATTTCAATTCATAGGATTCATACAATACATACATTCACACACACATATATAATTATTATTTGCGGGGTGGGCATTCCCACCCGGCAATCTGATAGCATGTGTACCGTACAATCAATCATAAGATAAAAACTAATAAATACTAATAAATGACATGGTATATCTACTGAATAATACATGAAATACCCATTGATTCTTGAAGAATATATATTATAAATGCCTCATAACATGAGCTTAGTTCAACTGTTGTACCCCATCCCCATGTTTGTAAACAATGTAAATGTAAACAAACACTACTGCCCCAAAACATGGTTAAAATTATCATTTTGATATCATGGGATGGTCAGTCCTTGCATCCATAGCTCTTTCTATGAATCAGAGTGGTTCTCTCCATCCCCATCCTTCACCTTAAACAGTGGTGGGGTGTACACTTTGTTATTGTTTCAACTGCAGATTACCCCTTTAAAACCGTGAGGCAAAATGCATTCAGGTGTTTTCTGTCTCTGGGCTAATTAGGGGCGTCTGTTGTGGGTAAACGTGTGCACTTTTTCGATTTTGTTGGAGCCATATATATTGTTTGTTACAAATATAATGCTTTCTCTGACCACATAGGGAACTTGCCTGCCCGCCCATTTGTTCAATGCCAAATAATACATTTTTTATTTAACTAGGCAAGTCAGTTAAGAACAAATTCTTATTTACAATGAAAGCCTACACCGGCCAAACCCGGACGCCGCCCTATGGGACTCCCAATCAAGGCCGGTTGTGATACAGTGGGTCTGTAATGACGCCGTGGTCTGTAATGATACAGTGGGTCTGTAATGACGCCTCAAGCGCTGAGATGCAGTGCCTTAGACCGCTGCGCCACTCGGGAGCCCAATTAACATTGCATTTAGGGACACTTAAATTGAAATACATCTCTAACAAGAAGTGAGTGACTTGAAGTGTAAAACGAAGTAGAAGAATGGCTTCTTCCGAAAAGTCCTCACTCCTAATCCAATAATGGACTCTTTCCTACTGATCAACCTTTTGGCCTCAATCACTCTGCCACATTTTCTTTAATATCATCTGTGGACATAGATATTGGGACCCCAGTGATAACTCCCCTTAATCTAGCATAAACACCAGGGACATGGCTTTTAATCTTCTTCCCATTAAGCTTTTCCATTTTCAAAATATTATCTTGCTGAACCTGGCTACCACAAAATATTAACATATCTACCATTTCCAATGAACCGAGCATATTTCACTTCACCTACCTCTTTCTCTACGGCATTAGTTAGTCGGTGAGGGCGTAAGTGAGGCCCTGTGGTCTCATCAAACACAATCACTCACCACTTTCCACCACATCACTACTCTTGCTTCCTACCTTGGCCCTCTTAATGCTTTCTTTACTAGACGCTCCACTGCTTTCTGTATCATGATCTCCCTTCTTCCTATGTCTTTCCACTACCGCACATTCTGGTGCAAAACACGCTACACGGGCGCCTGGGCAAGATTAATCCAACCTACTCATTGTAGCTAAACCTAACCCTTTTCCTAACCTCATTCTCCTAGCCTGCTATATAAACAAATCATTTGTGTCGAGAAACGGTCAGTCTAATATAATCGGAACTGACCAAAGACAGGCACCAATGAGCGTTTCCTGATGTCAAGAAACGACCACATCAAGCACGTTTTGCAAGAAGAACGAGTTCCCTAATAAACCGGTTTATATGGCCACATCTGAAATTAGGCTACTGATGGGCCTTTTGATAAATGCAGAAAATCGCCAATCAAAATAAACCTTCTACCGCAGTGACCACGTTATTTTTGCGAAGACTGATTCTGAGTTAGGAGATATAAAGTGTATATTTTTACATTTACATTTTAGTCATTTAGCAGACGCTCTTATCCAGAGCGATTTACAGGAGCAATTAGGGTTAAGTGCCTTGCTCAAGGGCACATTTACGTCATTTAGCAGACGCTCTTATCCAGAGCGACTTACAAATTGGTGCATTCACCCTATAGCCAGTGGGATAACCACTTTACACTTTTTTTTGGGGGGGGGGTGGAAGGATTACTTTATCCTATCCCAGGTATTCTTTAAAGAGGTGGGGCTTCAAATGTCAATGTATATGTTAATTCTTTCTAAAACGCATACTTTCAGTGTTTCCGAACGAACTCCACTCGCGTGTAATAGCGAGGCTTGCACATGCGTATATCAAATACACCGCAGAAACGCAGATTAAACTGTTTTCATGTCCTAATCATTCGGAAGACTGCTCAGAAACCCAGGTGTTTTAATCAGCATATGCTTACTTCGATAGTGACCTTACGCCGAGTAAGGTACTTACATTACTAATGCCATACTCGGCCTTCACCCATAATCAGTTTAATATCAAATTATTAGTGCGCATGTAAACGTACTTAGTGATCGATTGACCGACAACCAATTACAATGTTGTTGAGGGAACATTGTGTCGAGTGGGCGGAGACAGAGCGACAGACAGACTGCTTCACAAACTCTGCTACTTTCTCACGGTCGCCCTAGTAGGATAACCTATTGTCACACTTCTGACCCTCGACATGTCAAACAACAACGCCAGCAGCAACTTGGTCATCGCGCAGAGAGTCGTGAAACAGCTGCGGTTGGAAGCCAGTGTCCGGAGGATCAAGGTAAAAAAATGATCATATTAGCAACACTAGCACCAAACAAACACGGAAGAGCTGTAAACGACATTCCTGTCGCTGGGACAGCATAGCCGCCTTGAGCAGGCTAGGCTAGTGACGTGAAACAAAGTAGCAAACACGAAGTTACAATGTTGCAAAGTTTGCTTAATGAAGTTGTCATGTTAGGTATAATGCAGTTATAAATGTTGCTGCCTTGTATCAATGTTGTCATGTTACAAATGTCTATTGAACAGTAGGCTAACCTACATCGTCGCCTCCTGTCAGTAGGCTAGTATTGTTGACAAAGTAGGCAAAAGTTGATGGAATTATGAATTACTATCCTATTTGATAGCCTTTATTATTTTGGTTATCGAGACAGTCCTAGGACCCTGGTCCTGTATCGGTGGCCTGCAGGGTAGAAAGCGTGAAATAGATTGAAAGTCAGAGTGTAGGCCTATCTTGGATGGGTCAGTTCTCAGTTCACTAACATTCCCACGGGCTAGTAATATTCCGAAGCCGGTTTTTCCTTCTCCAAGTAAACTTGTCATATAACTGCCTCTGCCTACACATGCTAGGCTGCTTCTAGCTCCCGAAAACCCTTCTCCGTATGTAGGGTTTTCAGCCATTATATTCGCCCACATTTGGCTCTGTGTATGTAAGCTACAATTCTGATGCTGTGTTTTAACGTCTGTTAAACAGTTTTCGAAACCTATGCTGATATGCCCCTTATCTTTTCTCAGGTAGAATCTTTGAAGAAAATAATATACAGTTACTGTAGCCATTATATTTTTGATTTGAAAGATTATTTCTTGCTGACATTAAAGATAAAGGGCATATCAGCATAAATTTCGAAAACCGTTTCGAAATCGACGATTGTTGACGTATATCTCGATTTGGCCTCCACAATTGCGTCACAGCCTCTGTATACGGAGCCTCCAGACCTAATTTCGGATTAAGTATGAATCGGTTTTTACACACAGGTGTTCTGAGCAGCTAGATACATTTCACATTTTAGTCATTTAGCAGACGCTCTTATCCAGAGTGACTTACAGGAGCAATTAGGGTTAAGTGCCTTGCTTAAGGACACATCAACAGATTTTTCACCTAGTCGGCTCGGGGATTAGAACCAGCGACCTTTCGGTTACTGGCACAACGCTCTTACCCACTAAGCTACCTGCCGCCACATGTGCTAATTAGCTCCGTCTTCCGTAAACAAGTGCTGTAACATGGACATATGGCCGTGTGGGAACACTAACCATAACTCTATAAAGTTGTGTAGTAATAAACATTGTGTTTTTATTTTATTTCTCGCTGATATGAAAGATGCACTCCTTATGTTTCCAAAACAGTACTGCAAGCGATGCGTGTTAATGTTTAGAGCAAGCGTCGGGACTCCTAACAAACCTCCCCTGGTCAGAAGACATGTATCGTCAATAAGCGCTAAAGTAGTTAGCGTCTATGAGTGGGGCAGGCTACTTCCTGTACAGGGCATGAAGTACTCTCTTCTTTGCATTGGAAATCCAGCTGTAGCCCAACTGTAGTTTAGTCACTAGCAAATGTATTCAAAACTTCTGTGTTGAGATCTGTTACTATGGAAATGAGGCTGTGTAGTAGCAGCAGTGCAGTACAGGAGGCTACAGTACAGTGCGCTATAGGTTTCAAGTTTTAATGTCACAGGCACAAGTACAGTGAAATTATTTTATTGCTAACTCAAAACCCAACAATGCAATAATCAATAACAATGTATTACTAGAAAGAAAGAAAAAAACACAAGAAATAAGAATAGGAAATATGAAATACACGATTAAGTAAGTAGGTCAGCATACTATATACAGGAAATATTTAAAGAGTCAGTTCCGATACCATATTTACAATGTGCAGGGATACTGGAGTGATGGAGGTAGATATGTATAGGGGTAAGGTGACTAGGCAACAGGATATAATATAAACAGAGTAGCAGCAGCTTGTATGTGAGTTGGTGTGCGGGGGTGTAGAGTCAGTATAAATGTATGTGCATATTATGTGCGAGTGTTTGTGTGTGTGTTGGAGTGACAGTGTGAGTGTGTGTGTGTACAGCCCTGTGAGTGTTTGTGTGTGTGTTGGAGTGACAGTGTGAGTGTGTATGGCCCTGTGAGTGTTTGTGTGTGTGTTGGAGTGACAGTGTGAGTGTGTATGGCCCTGTGAGTGTGTGTAGACAGTGCAGAGTTTGAATTAAAAGGTTAATAAAGATACAAGGTTAACTCAGTCCGTGTAGCTTTTTTGTTAGCTATTTCTCAGTCTTATTGCTTGGGAATAGAAGATGTTCAAGAGCCTGTTGGTGCCAGACTTGGTGCACCGGTACCTCTTGCTGTGCGGCAGCAGAGAAAATAGTCTATGGCTTGGGTGGTTGGGGTCTTTGACGATTTTCCAGGCCTTCTTTTCACACCGCCTGATATAGAGGTCCTGGATGCCAGGGAGCTCGGCCCCAGTGATGTACTGGGCTGTCCGTACAACCCTCTGTAGCGCCATGCGATCGAGGGCGGTGCTATTGCCATACCAAGCAGTGATGCAGCCAGTCAATATGCAGTATGGACCCCTTGTTTACTCCATGTCACCTCACCACTGTGTCTACACCTGGAATGTATTAGTAGCATACAGGCCCGGTTTCCCAGATTAAGCCTAGTCCCGGACTAAAAGCATGCTCAATGGAGATTCTCTATTGAAAGCTCATTTTAATCCAGGACTAGGCTTGAGATGTGTCTGGAAAACCGGTCCATAGTGCATATAGCTCCTGTAGGTTTTCGCTCCAACCCCAGTTGTAACTAACCTGATTCAACGTATCAACCAGCTAATTATTAGAATCAGGTGCGCTAGATTAGGGTTGGAGCAAAAACCTACAGGAGGGTATCTCTCCAGGAACAGGGTTGGAGTGAACCTACAGGACAGTTTCTCTCCAAGAATGGGGTTGGAGAGCCCTGGTATATAGTATCTAGGGGCAGTTTCCCGGACACAGATTAAACCTAGTCCTGGACTAAAAACAGCTTTTAATAGACATTCTTCATTGAGATCACTGTCTGGTCCAGGACTAGGTTTAATCTGTGTCTGGGAAGCCGCCCCATAATACATCAGTCCCAGTCATATTTCTTCTTCGACTCTGTCATTAATTATTATTATAATTAACCCCAGGTGTCTCAGGCTGCAGTCGACCTGAAGAACTTCTGTCTGCAGAACGCTCACAAGGACCCTCTCCTGATGGGGGTACCCTCCAGTGACAACCCCTTCAGACCCCCCAAGTCCTGCAGCCTGTTCTGAGGTAGCCTACGACACCTTCATCCACTCTCCTCCTCTTCTTCCTCCTCTTCTCGGCAGGTCGCCTCGAGGTTAGAGCATTGGGCCAGTAACTGAAAGGTTGCTGGTTCAGATACCGGAGCCGACAAGGTGAAATATCTGTCGCTGTGCCCTTGAGCAAGGCTCTTAACCCTAATGACTCTGGCCATGACCCCACTCCCTGCGGGTGTCACATTTACATTACACACTTGTGTGTGTAACAGGACAAATATTAGCACCCCCCCCCCCCAAATAATAATAATAGTTATTATTATTATTACTACCTCTCTCTCTCTCTCCAGAGTCCTTGCAGCCTGTTCTAATGATGTACACCTTCGTCTCCTCTTCCTCTCCTCCTCTTTTCCCTCCCTTTCTATTCTCTCCTCTCACACCTGTTCCAGTCTCCTCTCCTGTCTGTGTTCCAGTCTCCTCTCCTGTCTGTTCCAGTCTCCTCTCCTGTCTGTGTTCCAGTCTCCTCTCCTGTCTGTGTTCCAGTCTCCTCTCACACCTGTTCCAGTCTCCTCTCCTGTCTGTGTTCCAGTCTCCTCTCCCTGTTCCAGTCTCCTCTCCTGTCTGTGTTCCAGTCTCCTCTCACACCTGTTCCAGTCTCCTCTCCTGTCTGTGTTCCAGTCTCCTCTCCTGTCTGTGTTCCAGTCTCCTCTCCTGTCTGTGTTCCAGTCTCCTCTCACACCTGTTCCAGTCTCCTCTCCTGTCTGTGTTCCAGTCTCCTCTCACACCTGTTCCAGTCTCCTCTCCTGTCTGTGTTCCAGTCTCCTCTCCTGTCTGTGTTCCAGTCTCCTCTCCTGTCTGTGTTCCAGTCTCCTCTCCTGTCTGTGTTCCAGTCTCCTCTCACCTGTTCCAGTCTCCTCTCCTGTCTGTGTTCCAGTCTCCTCTCCTGTCTGTGTTCCAGTCTCCTCTCCTGTCTGTGTTCCAGTCTCCTCTCCTGTCTGTGTTCCAGTCTCCTCTCCTGTCTGTGTTCCAGTCTCCTCTCACACCTGTTCCTGTCTCCTCTCCTGTCTGTGTTCCTGTCTCCTCTCCTGTCTGTGTTCCAGTCTCCTCTCCTGTCTGTGTTCCAGTCTCCTCTCCTGTCTGTGTTCCAGTCTCCTCTCCTGTCTGTGTTCCAGTCTCCTCTCACACCTGTTCCTGTCTCCTCTCCTGTCTGTGTTCCTGTCTCCTCTCCTGTCTGTGTTCCAGTCTCCTCTCCTGTCTGTGTTCCAGTCTCCTCTCCTGTCTGTGTTTTAGGATGGGATAGATGCTGGTAAATTGGCAATATGTCAGATGCTCCTAATTATAATAATTATGTGTGGTTGATGATAGTGTTTTGTTTATTTACCATATCGCTCTCTCTCTCTCTCTCTGTGTCTCTCTCTCTCTCCCCTCTCTCCTCCCTCCTCTCTCTCTGTCTCTCTCTCCCCCCTCTCTGTCTGTCTCTCTCTCTCTCCCCCCTCTCTCTCTGTCTGTCTCTCTCCCTCTCAGTCTCTCTGTCTCTCTCGTTGCAGTAGCAGTCACAGTGTGTGGAGGAGGAGTTCTTGCTGTATGTCCTATGGAAGCCCCCTTTCCTCTCCTCAATGTTATCCTCAAGCCTGATCCCAGATCTGGCATGCTAAGGCACAACAATGACCATATAGGAGTTGGCAAGACAGCAAAAACAGATCTGGGACCAGGCTAGACAGTCCATGTATTAAGATAAAGCCTAGTTGTGCCATTATACATGTATGTTCAGGATGTTGATGTGATATCCTATTTGTTATGATGATGACATTGTATTAGGGTTGCAAAATTCCCCAGTTTTCCAGAAATTCCTTTTGGAAGATTCCTGTAATCAGGAGGGGATAAGCAGAAAATCCAGGAATCCTCCACGGGGATTTCTGGAAAATCTGGCAAGCTTTGGAAAGTTAGTGTAGTTTTGCAACCCTACATTGTATCTATGCACTGTACGTTCCACCAGTATGACAGCCTCTGACAGGCAGACAGCCAGTGAATGTGCCTTTGATGTTGTCTCTGGCTGTGTCCCTGGGTGTGTCCCAAATAGCACCCTATTCCATATATAGTGCACTATTTTTGACCAGTGCCCTATGAGCCCTGGTCAAAAGTAGTGCACTAAATAGAGTATAGGGTGCCATTTGGGATGCAAACTTATGTGTACAACGTATACAGCACAATAAGGAAGTGACCAACAATTGAATGTTTGTTTTAACCAGGGTATGTATTGATATTTAGCCTACAGTTCTAGCCTATTGGCCTACATGCTGTCAGTTCTATTGCTTGTGTTCCACATGCAGTATACTTCCTGGTACAAACTAACACATGGTACAGGTTGATATTATCAACCCAGGGATACAGAACCATATAATTAGAATATAGAATTCATGCAAAACACTACCCACATATCCCAAAATTGTAGTCTATACAAGAGACTAGACTTTCGTCTACCTATTTTATTTAAGTTTTTATGAAATACTCAACCTTTTTATCAAAGGTTTCGTTCCATTATGATGATGATACTGAAGTGAACTTAAATGTTAACTTGTTGTGCTCTCCTGTACCTTTTTAGGAAGATACTCCTGTCCTGGCCTTTCTCCCTAGAAATACCCCCCCCCCAGTAGCCTACATTCAGTCCCCAATAACATTACAGCAAATGGGAAAGTATTTAAATAAGATAAACAACACTAACTTATTTCCAAATGCCACAGCTGGTCCTTCATCTTGTTTCAGGTTACTGATTAGCCACATCATCACCATGGTGGCCATTTTATGATTCCATCAGCCTATGTTTCCTTTTTATCATTGAACAGTAACTGTCGAGTCTAGCTGCCTGCCTTAAATGATGAGTTTTAATTTGATACCTGATACACTGTCAATCCTCTGTTGTGCCTTAACTAACTTTGTAACTGAGTTTCCAGACCTAGTAAATCACATTTACAACTACGTGTGTGTGTGACTATTTTATGTCTGTGGGTGGTTCTTTGGATAGATTGTTGATGCCTAAACGTTTTTGAAAGGCCTACTTCCAATGTGCCATCAAAACAAACATTATTTTTAGGTTAGAGGCCACTGCAAATGGGTGTACTTTTTGTTCTAGCCCAGACCTGTCTGATTCAACCAAATCCAAAAGGGCTTGATGATGATGATGATGATGATTGGCTGATCAGGTATGTTGTTGGTGCTGGGCTAGAACAAAACTGTCCTTGTGTCCAGTTTACCCCAATGATGTATATAAACCCTGGATTGCTGATGCTATGTATTTGGCAATGATAGGTTTGAAGCCACCGGTCGGCCATATTGGCACTCCCCAGAAGGAGCAGTCCTCCATAGGAACAACTGAAATTCTACAGTATTTCAATTAAATGTTTCAAGGACAATATTACATGTAAGTATTTTTGTTGTTGTAGTGGGAACAGTAACATCAATACTTTCTACAAATTATACTTTTAAGGAAAATGTTTTTGTTGTTGTTTTGTTTAGCTCACAGAGTATCATTTAATAGTATGCATTAAGGTGTCTGTACTAGAATACAGGTGGCAAAAACAACAGTAGACATTGTATTTCTATAGCTTCCAAAATATGTTTTACAACGGCGGGGGAGTGCCAAGATGGAGGCACGGTGGCTTCACAATAGTCATCTAGTGTACATATACATCATTAGACTATCCTCTATCCCCCAGGTTTGAGAAACAAGGATAGATAGCCTTGGTATTTCTCAAGATGCAGCTTCTGTTATGCCCCGACTGACTGTCGGGTGGCAGTAGTGAGCAGCACCGTAGTTTGCTTGATCGTGAAGTGTGAACCGACGAACCAGTCAAGCAGCCAGAAGCGAAGATGGCGGTATCGGTGTTTCCCTGTGTGCGGTTGCGGTCCATCGGGGACGCGAACGGAGAGATCCAGCGACACTCCGAGCAACAGCCCCTGAGATTGGAGGTTAAAAGCACCCCAGACACGGCTCTCCTAAACCTCTCCAACGGTAAGTAGCTGCTATAACCAGCTCCCGGCGTGTTGATTATCCGCGAGTTAGCTAGCGCTTACCTTGTGGTAGCCCGAGACCCCTTCGCGATGCTATGAAGAATGAATAGGATTGAGTAAGTCGGTGGCTAACTAATTAGCATCTAGCTAACCAGCTAGCATTTCACTGTGATGGGCCGGTGCGTTGGGATAGTACAAGTTACCGAAAATGTGTTTTTCAAAGCAAGCAAATGTTGCTGTTGTAGAAATTGGGTGGTTATTCCCACTATCGATACAGTACATGTAAAATATTATCTTATTAACGTTATGAGATAGCTAGTTAACTAGCATGCTAATTTTGAGGCTGGCTATGCCTATATGCGTCTTGGTGGCTTTGTCCTGTAGCTACAAATATTAATTGTAGAGTAGCCGGTCAGTTAGCTTGGAAACCCGACGTTGAATTTAATTTAATTCTATGTTTGGGCATAAATGAGCCGTTGTGGTCAGTAACGTTTCCTCTCTCGACCTCTGCATGCCAGAGTGTTGAATACAATTATATTTAACTTACTTTACCCGTGCGGTTGGTCCATTACATGTAGGAATATGAGACAACACAGGAAAGTATAATTAAATCAACTTTTCAAAGCGCTGGTACTAGTGTGTTCAAATGTCTATCAAGCATGCAGGCTTACTTGCCAAGCTCTTGCACGTGTTTACACGGTTCTGCGCATACTTCAGGTGATATAAATCGGAACTCACTACCAGTGCATTGAAAAGTTTTTAATTATACTTTCCTGCGGAAATATTGCCGTGTGGCTATATCTTACCTGTCTCTGATGGTTTGTCAACAGGAGATGAGACCTCAGTCTTTAAGTGTTCGTTGTCCAGGGAAACGGAATGCAGTCGCGTGGGGAAACAGTCCTTCATCATCACGCTGGGCTGCAACAGTGTCCTGCTACAGTTCTCCACACCTGCAGGTAGGGTGTGGGTCTGTGTGTGGATGTTTACAGAAGTTGTGCAATGATTGCCTCATCAGTGGTGATGTTCAGTCTGTGTCTAACTGTGTGTGTTTGTGTAGAGTTCAGTTCCTTCTATAATATTCTGAAGAGTTGCCGGGGACACAATGCAGAACACTCCGTCTTCAGTGACAGGACGGAAGAGTCCTCTGCCGTGCAATACTTTCAGGTGGGAAACGCACACACATCTGTGGGGGACCACTGTGAGTGGTCCAACACACACACAGTGGTGTATTGGAGGGGTAACGCAAGTAAACGCTGTTTACACACCTTTTGCCGTAAAATTCATTGAACCACTGCACACACACACACACAGAGTTAAGTCTAAAAGACATTGGAAATAACTGCTGAATTTTGACCGATTGGCCTCAATGACCTTTGCCTTCTGCCCTTTGACCCCTGTTTCCCTCCAGTTCTATGGCTATCTCTCTCAGCAGCAGAACATGATGCAGGACTATGTTCGGACTGGAACCTACCAACGTGCCATCCTTCAGAACCACGTTGACTTCAAGGACAAGGTACCACACGCACAAACACACACACAGTGACTGATTTAGATGTGTGCTGCCAATCCAATGATCTGTGATCTCTCTCTCGATCTCCCCCCTCTCTCGCTCTCCCACCTCTCGCTCCCCCCCCCCATCTCTCGCTTTCCCTCCCTCCCTCTCTCGCTCCCCCCTCTTCCTCTCTCCCCCTCTTCCTCCCTCCCCCTCGTTCTAGGTGGTGTTAGATGTGGGCTGTGGTTCAGGTATTCTGTCGTTCTTCGCGGCGCAGGCCGGAGCCAGGAAGGTCTACGCTGTGGAGGCCAGCACCATGGCTCAGCATGCAGAGGTAACACACACACACACTAACTACCACGCAAAAGGTACGAGAGTCGGTTTGTTTCTTTGGCTGTGATCAGTTTTTTGTTGTTTTATTATTGTGATTCTTAGTGCTAAAGCTGTTGTTAGTTAGACTACACTGAGAGGCCTCCTCGACCACACGCACTATCACACACATACGCACTACCACATACACACCCTACCGTACACATACGCACTACCACATACACACCCTACCGTACACATACGCACTACCACATACACACCCTACCGTACACATACACACTACCACATACACACCCTACCGTACACATACGCACTACCACATACACACCCTACCGTACACATACACACTACCACATACACACCCTACCGTACACATACGCACTACCACATACACACCCTACCGTACACATACATACACACACCAGGGGAGGACGGCTCACAATAATGGCTGGAACGGAGCGAATGGTATGAAACACCAGGAAGCCATGTGTTTGTATCTGATACCATTCCACTGATTCTGCTCCAGCCATTACCAGGAGCCCGTCCTCCCTAATTTAGGTGCCACCAACCTCCTGTGACACACACACACTAACCCCCTGTGTGTGTGTGTGTGTGTGTGTGTGTGTAGGTGCTGGTAAACTCCAACGGTATGGGGGATCGTGTGGTGGTGATAGCAGGGAAGGTGGAGGAGATCTCTCTACCAGAGCAGGTGGACATCATCATCTCTGAACCCATGGGATACATGCTCTTCAACGAGAGAATGCTGGAGAGTTACCTACACGCCAAGAAGTTCTTAAAGCCTAACGGTGAGAGAGAAGAGAGAGGGAGCGAGATGAGAGAGGGAGTTAGAGAGAATGCTGGAGAGTTACCTACACGCCTAGAAGTTCCTACGGCTCAATGGTAATATGGAGAGGAAGAGATGGAGAACGGGAGATATGGAAGGAAAGAAAGATGGTTGATGGAGGAAATGGAATTAGTAGAACGCGTATCCAGGTGTTGCCGATGGTAACCCTCCCTCCTCCCTCGTCCCCTAGGTAACATGTTCCCCACGTTAGGCGACGTCCACCTGGCTCCCTTCACAGACGAACAGTTATACATGGAACAGTTCACCAAGGCCAACTTCTGGTGAATAACCTTTGACTTCATTTAACAAGCTCCAGTCAACACACCTTTTAAAACCTAGACAGAGACGCATGTTCTTACTAGCCTAGTTCTTACTTCTCTAACTTCTGGTAAATAACCTTTCACTTTATTTACTTTATTTTTAAAGCTTCGTTTTGACATGTGGAAAGTCTTGTGTTCTTAGGCTAACTTCTGGTGAACAACCACACTTACATTTACTTTATTTTTAAAGCAGTTTTTACCTGGAAAGTATTGCTGGGGAGAGAGAAAGCAAATTCACCATGCCTTTTTTAAAACGATACAAAAATATTTAACTGTCACTAAGTCAACTAACTAAACCCACTTCCCACGGTCTCTTTCTCTCTCTCTCCCGCTCTGTCTCTCAGGTATCAGCCATCGTTCCATGGTGTTGATCTGTCATCATTGAGAGAAGCTGCAGTAGATGAGTATTTCAGACAACCCATTGTGGTGAGACTTCACCCCCCCCCCCCCCACTCTCTCTATCTGTCTGTCTCTGTCTCTCTGTCTGTCTCTCTGTCTCTCTCTCTCTCTCTCTACACCAACTTTCCCTCTCAAATTCAACATGTTTTAATGGCATGAATGAAAAGGTGAATGTTGCCAAAGCGAAGTGATACACAACAATTATGAAAAGAACAGAGACAACAATAAGAATAGTAGCTATAATACTAAAGAAAAAAATAAATATATATATATATATATATAATGAAAAAAATAGCCATTACATAAATGTAATGATCTCTCTCAGGACACCTTTGATATCCGTATCCTGATGTCCAAGTCTGTCAAATACACCGTCAACTTCCTGGACGCGAAAGAGGGGGATCTGCACAGGTGAGTCCATCACCTCCTCTCTCCTTCAGGGCCTGTATTCAGAAAGCTCTCCTCTCTTCTCTCTCTCAGGATAGATTCCCTTCAAGTTCCACATGATGACATCTGCCCCTCCTCTCTCTCCTTCAGAAAGAGACTTGGAGTAGGAGCGCTGATCCAGGATCAGTTTAGCCTTTTTTAGATTATAATGAATGGACAGGGGGACCTGATCCTAGATCAGCACTCTGAGACGGTTTATGAAAACAGGCCCTGATGTTGTGTTTAGTCTGAGGGTTGTGGTGACTGAGGTGACTGCTGAGAGTTTACTCCTCCTTAAACCTCCATCTCTTTCTTTATTCATCTCAGGATGGAGATTCCCTTTAAGTTCCATATGATGACATCAGGTCTGGTCCATGGTCTGGCCTTCTGGTTCGACGTGGCTTTCATCGGCTCAGCGTGAGTCCCCTGTGTGTGTGTGTGTGTGTCCGTGTGGTATTATGTCAACTCTGGCAGTCTTGATTGACTTGCTGTCCTTCATCTTTTGTGTGTGCCTGTGTGTTCGTCTAACCGTGTGTGTGTGTCCCCAGGGTGACAGTGTGGCTCTCCACCTCCCCTACGGAGCCTCTAACCCACTGGTACCAGGTCCGCTGTCTGCTCCAGTCCCCTCTCTTCACCAAGGCAGGAGACACCCTCTCCGGCACCGCAACGCTCATCGCCAACAAGAGGTGAGACACACACACCCGGATAACTTTACCACACACACACACACACACACACACACACCTGAAAAGGTAACTCCCATGCACACACACCTGAAAAGTAAACCCCCACACTGAACACACGCACACCTGCAAAGGTACCCCCCACCCTAAAGGGTTAATCTGACCTGTGCACTCAGACAGAGCTATGACATCAGCATGGTGGCCCAGGTGGACCAGACAGGAAGCAAGTCAAGCAACCTGCTGGATCTCAAGAACCCATTCTTCAGGTCAGAAACACTCTATACCGCTCCTCTCACGCTCTCCCTTTCTCTCTCTCTCTCTCCTACTGTCTGTTCTCTCTCTCCTACTGTCTGTCTCTCTGTTCTCTATCTCCTACTGTCTCTCTCTCTCTCTCTTCATCCTCTAAAATCTCCTCTTCCTCCTCTTTTCTCTCCCTGATAGACATCTTCAAGTCCTCTGTATATGATTGGCTGTCCCTGAGCTTGCCGCCACCGACCCCATCTGATTTGGATATTTAGCACAATGTCCCCATCTGATTGGTTGATATGTGTGTTCCGCAGGTACACAGGCAGCACGTCAGCCCCGCCCCCAGGCTCTCACTACTCCTCCCCCTCAGAGAACATGTGGAACAATGGAGGAGTCTACAGCATGAACCAGGGTACACACCCACACACACTGCATGAATCAGGTACTACACACACACACACACACACAGGTGAATACAGAATTGTTTATTTCCTGGTTTTAATTTCTCTCTCTGTCTATCAGGAGGGATGCCTGCAGCGTATGACCTCAGTACAGTCATTGGTGGCATGGGCTCCACAGTGTCTCACAACAATCTCATCCCTCTTGGTACGCTATGTGTGTGTGACTGACCAATCCCTACCCTCCTTACTGTGCTGTGCTATACAGCCCTCAAATTCAGATCTGGATCTCTAAGCCAGTTTCACTGCTTTTTAAAAAATGCATCCCTTCTAATCAGGGACTGATTTAGACCTGGGACACACAGGTGGGTGCAATTAATTACCAGGTAGAAAACCAGCAGTAGTCTAGACTTCACAGGGTAACATTTGAATACCCCTGCTGTATAGGGTTACAACATATCTGAAATGTTCCCCAAATTCCCAGTTTTTCCAGAAATCCCAGTTGGAATATTACCATGAAAAAGCAGGAAATACGGGAATCCTCCTACTGGGATTTCTGGAAATGTCGGGAAAGTTACTGGAATGTTGCAAACCTAACTGTGCTGTGCTGCGTGTAATGGCAGTTTTGTATCTATATGTTGGACTCCAGATAATCCATCTGTAACTGACCTTTTGTATATTGGTTTTGCTGTGTTTTGTTGATCCAAATAAAATTGGCCAATTTGTGAATTATCTCCTCTGTGTGTGTGTATGTGTGTGTGTGGGCAGTGAACACAGGGGTAGTGAACCATACATCTTCTAGAGTTGGGTCTATCATGAGTACAGGAGTGGGCCAGGGTGAGTGAGTGTCACCATGGTTACAGAGCTACAGCTCTGTTGCTAATGTCTTCCAGTCTGGTTGACAGTTCAGTTAATGTATGGCCTGACATTAGTTGTTTTAATGTTTGTGTTTTATTTTAGATATAAAGTGCTTTTTAGTCCAGGATTAGGTTTAATCTGGGTCCGGGAAACCCCAAATTCACTTCCTGTTTCTCTCTTCCTCAGGAGCGGTGACTGGCCAATCAGGGCCCGGCAACAGTCCTCACTACCCAATCAACAACAACAGCCAGTTCACCATGGGCGGGCCTTCCATCTCCATGGCGTCTCCCATGGCGATCCCTAGCAATACAATGCACTATGGGAGCTAAGTCCTCCCAACCTCTTCTCTCCTGTCCCCCTCCTTCCTCCACTTCTCTGGACTTCCAACAGCTGGAAGGAAACCAAAACGGACTGATAATATGGACGTCCCTCACTCCTCCATTCATCCCTCCATTCTTTCATTCCTGATCTCTCAGGCCCGGTCCAGAATCAACTAGACACTGAAAGGATTGGATAGGTTTAGCGTTGTAGAATTCCCACATTTTCTGATTTCTTACTTATTCCCATTTGATTGCAACCGTGGATAGGTTTAAGTAATGTTGGCTAAACATCTCCTTTCGTCCCAACACATTCTGAGGCTGACTAAAAGGTGTGTGCTTGTAACCATTATGTTTATGTATCCACAGCCCACATAGAAACATTTATAAGGATCCTATGTACTTACTGTTGCTATAGGGGTTTTAGAAACTTACACACACACACACACACACACACACACAGCCTCCTGCAGGACAAAAAGGACTTTGAGCTTCTGTGAAGTTTTACCAATCACTCCCCTCTTCCCCAGCCCGTCGCTTTTGACGGAACGTCCCGATCGATAAATTCTTGAATCCTGACATTTCACCCCAGGTTACCGATTCAACCGACCAATCAAAGCAAACGGTCTGAGTGTCTAGCCGACCGGCAGCTGCAAGGGAGAGAGGGTGATCCAGGTTTTAGCCAATCGGGACACAAGATTGTCTCTGTAGGTTGGGGTTTGGTAGTAGCTTTAGACTAGCCAGGGGTTCGGTTCTGTAGGGTGCATCGCTGCTGATAGAAATGCAACACTACTATGTCATGTTAAAAAAGGAATCATGTCACCTTACTGAATAGGGCCCCTGTTATATGGTGTTTAGGGTATAATATTTTAGCTGTTTAACAAGTGTTTAGCGGGAACTGTGAGAGACTTCGTGCAACGTCCTAGGATGTCCCAAATGGCACCATATTCCCTAGTGTACTATTTTGGATCAGGTCCGTTAGGGCTCTGGTCAAAAGTAGTACGCTATATAGGGTATAGACAGAGTCTCCCGGCAGACACAACATGTAAAGTGTTGGTCCCATGTTTCATGAGCTGAAATAAAATATTCCAGCAATTTTCCATAAGCACAAAAAGCTTATTTCCCTCAAATTTTGTGCACAAATTTGTTTACATCCCTGTTAGTGAGCATTTCTCCTTTGCCAAGATAATCCATCCACCTGATAGGTGCGGCATATCAAGAAGCTGATTAAACTGCATGATCATTACGCAGGTGCACCTTGTGCTGGGTTCAATAAAAGCTCTAAAATGTGCAGTTTTGTCACACAACACAATACCACAGATGTCTCAAGTTGAGGGAGCGTGCAATTGACATGCTGACTGCAGGAATATCCACCAGAGCTGTTGCCAGATAATTTTATGTTAATTTCTCTACCATAAACCGCAGCCAATGTCATTTCCGAGAATTTGGCAGACCACGTGTAACCACGCAAGCCCAGGACCTCCACATTCGGCTTCTTCACCTGAGGGATCGTCTGAGGAGGAGGGGGTAGTGCTGAGGAGCATTTCTGTCTGCAATAAAGCCCTTTTGTGGGGGCAAAACTCATTCTGATTGGTTTGGCCTGGCTCCCAAGTGGGTGGGGCAAAAGTGTGACACTCAGAGGACTGGAGTTACCCATCCCTGAGCTAAAGACTCAGTCCATCTTCTGTTTGGTCAAATGGTCTTAAATGTTAATGGTTTAGTTTTGTTTTCATTTAATTGTTTTCTTCCATTTCCCCAAAAAAATATAAAGATAAAACAGAAAGGCCCTCCAAAGGGGCAAATTAAACATCGCTGGAGAACTAATCGGCTTTCTAATCTGTATATATTGTATGGATTCTTCCTAATATATAGTTGTGTGCATTCTCAGATTTCTAATGTATGTGGATTGTCTCATGGCAGTACTAAGTATTAGATGAGCCCCATCCATTTCATAGGGACATGGTGATATATGTTGATACTTTACTGTAGGCCCTAGAATCCTCAAACAACTCTGGACCTCTAAACCAGTTCTACTCCATTTTTTTCATTGTTCCCCCTCTAATCAGGGACTGAGTTAGACCTGGGACACCAGGTGGGCGCAGTTAATTATTAGGTAGAACAGAAAACCAGCAGGCTCCTCGTAGGTTAATAGTTGAATCCTTCTGCCCTAGTATATAAAGCAGGGGTGTCAAACTCTGTTCCGGGAGTATCTGCTGCTTTTCACTCCTCCCTTGTACTTTACTGCCTTCCAGGAAATGAGTTTGCAACCCTTGATATAGACAATCAACATTTACATTACACACTATTATAGGCCAACAGTACATCATTTTATTCCAAGCCATTGTAAATGGATTGTCAGTAATCAAAATAGCTTCCATTTCTCCAATTGTTTTGCACACATAGGTCGTCCCCTGCTCAGACGTTGCATGCATCAACCGATGGTTGCGTGCTATGTCATCAACTGTGCTGTTGGGCATCAGATTGCTATAACATGTGGTTAGCTGATACACATTGTATGCTGTAGTGTTCAGATTTCCCTTCACTGGACCTAAGGGGCCAAGCCCAAACCATGAAAAACAGCCCCAGACCATTATTCCTCCTCCACCAAACTTTACAGTTGGCACCATGCATTCGGCCAGGTAGTGTTCTCCTGGCATCCGGCAAACCCAGATTCGTCCGTCGGACTGCCAGATGGTGAAGCGTGATTCATCACTCCAGAGAACGCGTTTCCACTGCTCCAGAGTCTAATGGCAATGAGCTTTACACCACTCCAGCCGACGCTTGGCATTGCGCATGGTGATCTTAGGCTTGTGTGCGGCTGCTCGGCCTTGGAAACCCATTCCATGAAGCTCCCGACGAACAGTTATTGTGCTGACGTTGCTAACAGAGGCAGTTTGGAACTCGGTAGTGAGTGTTGCAACTGAAGACAGATGATTTTTACGCGCTTTAGCACTCAGCGGTCCCATTCTGTGAGCTTGTGGGTCCTACCACTTCGTGGCTGAGCCGTTGTTGCTCCTAGACATTTCCATTTCACAATAACAACATTTACAGTTGACCGGGCAGCTCTAGCAGGGCAGAGATTTGACGAACTGACTTGTTGGAAAGGTGGCATTCTATGACATTGCCACGTTGAAAGTCACTGAGCTCTTCAGTAAGGGCCATTCTACTGCCAATGTTAGTTTATGGAGATTGTATGGCTGTGTGCTCGATTTTTCACACCTGTCAGCAACGGGTGTGGCTGAAATAGCCAAATCCACTACTTTGGGTGTCCACATACTTTTGTATATATAGTGTACGTAAAATACCTATCCAGGCATTGTAAGATCTGGTATGCGTCACCAACGTCTGAGCAGAGAAACACGACCAAACAGTATGAAAAAAGAGTGCTGTGAGCTTGTCAATTAATGAGGTTATTGATTAGCTGAAATGCTAGCACCTGGTTGCCACTTGCCAGGTGGTAATTCAAGATGGCTGCCAGTGTAGCAGAAAACTTCTCCGCTCAGGTAAAACTGCAAACACAACACCTACAGTACACACACCTGAATACCTGTTAAGGTATTTACCTTTTGTGATAGTAAATGTTCATAAATGTTGACCCAGATGGCTTATAGACGGGGGCAGGGACGGGCAGCATGGTCCCAGCCTCAGAGAAGAGGACAGGAGTATTCAGGTAAAGCTGTATATTAAGACACACATCTTGATATAGGAGGACAATCTACTGAACGTGGCCCTACACTCATGATAACCATCCTTCCCAATCTCTCACTTCTGCATCTATATACCCCAGTGTTTGACTTGGGCAGGAGCTCACCGGAGCGGAGTACCGGCACCTCACATGTTCTACTGCTTGAGCTCCTGTTCCTTTTACAGAATATTAGCTCAGAAGTATTGTGGAGCTCCTGCACCTAAATATAATCAGTACTGGCACCCAAAATGAGTACCGGAACCTATTTCAGTCCAAGTCCAGCACTGTATATACCTCTTTCCTTCCTGTCTTACCTCTACCTCCCTATCTACCTCACTCCACTCATACCACCATCCAACCCCCCTCTCCCTCTCCCTCTCTCTCTCTCTCCCCCTCCCTCTCTCTCTCTCCCTCCCTCTCTCTCTCCCCAGACCTCCAGGACACATACCTCCTCCATGGGGAGCCTAGCCCACCTCTCAGTGACCTGTCTCTCCATGCCTCCTGGTGGACCGGCAGGGACGAGCACAATGAGATCGGGGTAAGCTAGTGTGTGTGTGCTTAACAAAGAAACATTTGTGTGGGTTTGAGAGTCAGTCAGGTGAGAATGAGAGCGCTAGAATAGTGGGTTTGTGTGTGTTAACAACTTCTGTCTTTTCTTCTCAGGAGCAACTGTCTGAGCGATACCAGCACGTTGCCAGACTACAGGATGCACTGAGGCGAGAGAGGGAGAAGGTGTGTGTAATGTATCATGAGTTTGATGGAAAATATTGACGATGTTGATGAATAACCTTTTCCCCCTCATCTCTTTCAACCCCGCACGCACCCACACGTTCTGAAGGGTTCCAGCCTGCAGTCTCGGTGTAGCCAGCAGGGGTCAGAGTTGAGGCGTAAAGAGCAGCACAGCGCCAGACTGAAGGAGAGACTAAGCCAACTCACAGAGAGACACAGAGAGAGAGGCGCCTGTAAGGATGTCTGTCTAACCCTCTCTCACTTAATGTGCCCTCTCACATTCTATATCACTCCATCTTTCTAACTTTCTCCCAGTCTTACACACACACACCATTCTATCACTCGCCTTCTACCTACCTAAGTCACTCTCTTACCCATTCTGTTTGTGTTACACACACACACTGTCTCACTCTCTCTCAACTCTCTCTCTTCCTCTCCTCCTTTCTCTCGGTCTCTCTCTTTCTCTCAATGTAATTTCAATTTAAAGGGCTTTATTGGCATGGGAAACATATGTTACATTGCCAAAGCAAGTGAAATGGATAATAAACAAAAGTGAAATAAACAAAACATTAACAGTAAACATTATTCAAATGTCATATTATGGAAATAGTTAAAGTGCAAAAAGGAAAATAAATAAACATAAATATAGGTTGTATTTAAAATTGGTGTTTGTTCTTCACTGGTTGCCCTTTTCTTGTGGCAACAGGTCACAACTATTGCTGCTGTGATGGCACACTGTGGTATTTCACCCAATAGATAGGGGAGTTTATCCAAATTGGATTTGTTTTCAAATTATTTGTGGGTCTGTGTAATCTGAGGGAAGTCTGTGTCTCTAATATGGTCATACATTTGGCAGGAAGTTGGGAAGTGCAGCTCAGTTTCCATCTCATTTTGTGGGCAGTGTGCACATAGCCTGTCTTCTCTTGAGAGCCAGGTCTGCCTACGGTGGCCTTTCTCAATAGCAAGGCTATGCTCACTGAGTCTGTACATAATCAAAGATTTCCTTAATTTTGGGTCAGTCACAGTGGTCAGGTATTCTGCCACTGTGTACTCTCTGTTCAGGGCCAAATAGCATTCTAGTTTGCTCTGTTTTTTTGTAAATTATTTCTAATGTGTCAAGTAATTCTCTTTTTGTTTTGTCATGATTTGGTTCGGTCTAATTGTGTTGTTGTCCTGGGGCTGTGTGGGGTCTGTTTGTGTTTGTGAACAGAGCCCCAGAACCAGCTTGCTTAGGGGACTCTTCTCCAGGTTCATCACTCTGTAGGTGATGACTTTGTTATAGAAGGTTTGGGAATCGCTTCCTTTTAGGTGGTTGTAGAATTTAACGGCTCTTTTCTTGATTTTGATCATTAGCGGGTATCGGCCAAAATCTGCTCTCCATGTATTATTTCGTGTTTTGCGTTGTACACAGAGGATATTTCTGCAGAATTCTGCATGCAGAGTCTCAATTTGTTTTTTTCTCTCTCTCTGTCTCTCTCCTCCTACTTTCTCTCTCTCTCTCTCTGTGTCTCTCTCCTCCTCCTTTCTCTCTCTCGCTCTCTCTCTCTCTGTGTCTCTCTCCCTCCTCCTTTCTCTGTGTCTCTCTCTCTGTGTCTCTCTCTCTGTGTCTCTCTCCCTCCTCCTTTCTCTCTCTCTGTAGCCATGGAACTGTTGAACCCAGTGCCCAGAGGCCAGGTGAAGAGAGACCGACCAGCCAGGACCAACGGAAGGTAGGAGGCTGCGTCCCAAATGGCGCCCTGTTCCCTTTATAGTGCACTACTTTTGACCAGGACCCATAGTTGACCACTGGGGCTGTAGACTCCGGTTGTCCCCAAATCGGACCCCAGAGGTCACCTATTCTGATCCAGGAGATTGAGACGCAGGCTTTTGTTCCAGCCTAGCACTAATGTACCTGATTTTAATGTACCCCAGGAAGGAGGAGGCGGCGCTACGTGTGATGCTGGAGCGGCGAGAGGCGGAGTTAAGGGAGGCCATGAAGCTCCGACACAAACTCACCACTCTACTGCACGCGCTCAGAGCAGACATGGAACGGGTTAGACGGCTCCTATAGCTCAGAGCAGACATGGAACGGGTTAGACAGCTCCTATAGCTCAGAGCAGACATGGAGCAGGTTAGACAGCTCCTATAGCTCAGAGCAGACATGGAACGGGTTAGACAGCTCCTATAGCTCAGAGCAGACATGGAGCAGGTTAGACGGCTCCTATAGCTCAGAGCAGACATGGAGCAGGTTAGACAGCTCCTATAGCTCAGAGCAGACATGGAGCAGGTTAGACAGCTCCTATAGCTCAGAGCAGACATGGAACGGGTTAGACAGCTCCTATAGCTCAGAGCAGACATGGAACGGGTTAGACAGCTCCTATAGCTCAGAGCAGACATGGAGCAGGTTAGACGGCTCCTATAGCTCAGAGCAGACATGGAGCAGGTTAGACAGCTCCTATAGCTCAGAGCAGACATGGAACGGGTTAGACAGCTCCTATAGCTCAGAGCAGATATGGAGCAGGTTAGACGGCTCCTATAGCTCAGAGCAGACATGGAGCAGGTTAGACGGCTCCTATAGCTCAGAGCAGACATGGAACGGGTTATACGGCTCCTATAGCTCAGAGCAGACATGGAGCAGGTTAGACGGCTCCTATAGCTCAGAGCAGACATGGAACGGGTTAGACAGCTCCTATAGCTCAGAGCAGACATGGAACGGGTTATACGGCTCCTATAGCTCAGAGCAGACATGGAACAGGTTATACGGCTCCTATAGCTCAGAGCAGACATGGAGCAGGTTAGACAGCTCCTATAGCTCAGAGCAGACATGGAGCAGGTTAGACGGCTCCTATAGCTCAGAGCAGACATGGAGCAGGTTAGACGGCTCCTATAGCTCAGAGGTGAAAGTGGCCCTAGACGCTGTTTTGCATTTTCCCCACTAATGGTAAAGGTTGTGATTGGGGGAGGGGATGCTGGTCCTAGGTTTGTACCTAGGGGAAACTTCCCTCCCGGTGTGTTTCCTGGTCCTGGGGAGTGGTCTCCACCAAAGGGGGGGCCTTAGCACTAACACAATTGGTTCAACTTCCGGTCCCCAGGGCCAGGATTGGGAAACACTGCCCTAGCCCCTACAGCCCTTCCTAGTGCACAGATCTGAGAGGAATAGATGGGTGAAAGCAGTACAGCAAAAGCAACAACTTATTAACCCTTGTATTAAGTCCCTTCAGATCTGTAACCATTCAATGAGTAGGGTCTTGGGGCTGGAGTAACGGCGCTATGGATGGGAACTGGAACTTGGGCACGGTCAGCAGGACACAATGTTTTGGAACGTTCAGATAGAAATATGTTATGTAGAACTAACATGCCTTTCCGACATGTAGAAATATGGAATAATGTAAAGTCTATTTATGGCATTTCTATCTGCAATATTCAGCAACGTTTGGCAACTGGACCCAACACTGGGTATGGTTGCGAGAGAGAGGATTGAGCTGATTGGCTGAAAGCTACTACTTTGTAACTTTTCCCCCAGACCTTATTGGACACTGTAGGTGACCAGGAAGAGGACCCTAATGACGACAAGATGCTGGTCCAATCAGAGGAGTCCCTGGGCGACCATGTGACAGGGGGTGTGGTCCATGGATGGAAGGGTGTGCAGAGGAGACTAGGGAACCTCCTGAGTCAGGGTGAGGGGGGGATGAGGCACGAAATGGCACCATATTCCCTATGTAGTGCACTACTTTTGACCATAGGGCCATTTCGGACGCACACAGCAACTAGTAGGAGATTAACATGAATTTGTTTATGAATAAAACAATGTTACTACAGGGGTTTGACAGTGTGTGTGTGTTTAGGTCACGTGGCTGTGGGGACTGACCAGGATAAGCTCTTGGCTCAGCTAGAGACAGAGTTGGATCAGAGTCAACAGCTGGTCAAACTGCAGCAGCATCTACTACAGGTGGACTACACACACTACAATGTTACAGCTCGTTGCTAAAGAAACCGACACACTACAATGTTACAGCTCGTTGCTAAAGAAACCGACACACTACAATGTTACAGCTCGTTGCTAAAGAAACCGACACACTACAATGCTACAGCTCGTTACTAAAGAAACCGACACACACTACAATGTTATGGCTCGTTACTAAAGAAACCTACCCACACTACAATGTTATGGCTCGTTACTAAAGAAACCTACCCACATTACAATGTTATGGCTCGTTACTAAAGAAACCAACACACTACAATGTTACGGATCATTACTAAAGAAACCGACACACACTACAATGTTACGGCTCATTACTAAAGAAACCGACACACACTACAATGTTATGGCTCGTTACTAAAGAAACCGACACACTACAATGTTACGGCTCATTACTAAAGAAACCAACCCACATTACAATGTTACAGCTCGTTACTAAAGAAACCGACACACACTGGGGCTCATAGAAACACAAGTATGTGACCAGCTGGGTTCAAACCCGTGCACCACAAGAATGTTAACCCGCTGAGCTAGTCTATGCATTAACTTTGGCAGCTAAGGCAAGCTTTGACATTTCGGACGGTTACTTGCTCATCTCTCTCCCCCTTCTCTCTCTCCCCCTTCTCTCACTTTCTCCTCTCCTCCATCTCTACCTACTTTCCCTCCCCTTTTCTCCATGTCATCCTCCTCCCCTCCTCTCCCCAGGACAGTGTGATCACTCCGGTCCCGGCCGCTCTGACAGACTGCTACTTCCTGGAAGAGTGGGAGCGGCTTCAGGACCGCTGGGCGGAGCTAGAACTCCAGAAGCGGAGCTTCCAGAGGGAGAGACGGGCCTTCACCGACGCCGCCATCCGATTGGGCCACGAGGTGAGGGACCGGAAGGGAGAGCCACAAAGGAGGGGGGGGGAGGGAGTGAAAACAGGCTCCTTGGATTGAAAGATTAAAGGAATGGGTGGTTAGTGAAGTGTTGTTAGACTGTGGTTATTTTATTATGTATTTACAGTGTGTGTCTGCATGTGCAGAGGTGTGAGTTTGAGCAGCAGAGGGCCTGTGTGGTGAAGCAGCAGTATCTGTTTGACTGTCCGTTGTGGAAGACGTTGCAGCGTCACAACAGCAGAGAGAGCACCGTCCTCAGTGAGTCAGCATATATCATGTTATACACATACACGACATGACCAAAACTATGTGGACACCTGCTCGTCCAACATCTCATTCCAAAATCATGGGCATTAATATGGAGTTGGTCCCCCCTTTGCTGCTATAACAGCCTCCACTCTTCTGGGAAGGCTTTCCACTAGATGTTGGAACATTGCTGCAGGGGCTTCCTTCCATTCAGCCACAAGAGCATTAGTGAGGTCGGGCACTGATGTTGGGCGATTAGGCCTGGCTCACAGTCGGCGTTCCAATTCATCCCAAAGGTGTTTGATGGGGTTGAGGTCAGGGCTCTGTGCAGGCCAGTCAAGTTCTTCCACACCGATCTCGACAAACCATTTCTGTATGGACCTGGCTTTGTGCACAGGGGAATTGTCATGCTGAAACAGGAAAGGGCCTTCCCCAAACTGTTGCCACAAAGTTGGAAGCACAGAATCGTCTAGAGCAGGGGTATTCAACTACTATTTGAGAAGGTCCAGTGACACAAATTTCCAAGGTGGCAAAGATCCGGATGGATATTGTCCTTTATCGGCACTGTGGTACAGCGTAGTAACAAACATAGTCGTCTACAACTTAGTTGATATATCAAATGTAATTAATTCAAATTCTTAGTCTCATTTAATATACAACTTGTTTCGAATGTAAACATGTGCAACATTGCATCAACATTTCTGAAGAACAAAAGTGGTTGCATAACTGTCTGTGCAAAAAGTGCACTGTGAACCATTTGTACATGGGCCTTGAATAAAAAAATAAAGTATTTTATTAAAATAAAGTGCATGTTTTCTGAAGAACAAAGGAGAGTTGAACAAAAATAATAATCTGAATGCACAGAACGTCACTGTGGGCCATGCAATATTCATATATAAGTCACTCTGGTCCTTGCCCTGCATTAATGAGAGAAATTACACTTTCTGTCTCCTGCCAATGCTGTGAACTTTGGCACAATTGGTGTGAGAGCAACTCTGAGACACTGGTGCAGGTGTTCATTGGTGAGCCTGGTGTGGTATTTGTTTTTAATAAAGTTAATTGTGGAGAAGGCTGTTTCACAGCTGTATGTGGAGCCAAACATAGTCAGGATGTCTAGTGTTACTCTTGACCCTGATCTCTCTTTTGACGAACATATCAAGACTGTTTCAAGGACAGCTTTTTTCCATCTACGTAACATTGCAAAAATCAGAAATTTTCTGTCCAAAAATGATGCAGAAAAATTAATCCATGCATTTGTTACTTCTAGGTTAGACTACTGCAATGCTCTATTTTCCGGCTACCCGGATAAAGCACTAAATAAACTTCAGTTAGTGCTAAATACGGCTGCTAGAATCCTGACTAGAACCAAGAAATTTGATCATATTACTCCAGTGCTAGCTTCCCTACACTGGCTTCCTGTTAAGGCAAGGGCTGATTTCAAGGTTTTACTGTTAACCTATAAAGCGTTACATGGGCTTGCTCCTACCTATCTTTCCGAGTTGGTCCTGCCGTACATACCAATACGTACGCTACGGTCACAAGACGCAGGCCTCCTAATTGTCCCTAGAATTTCTAAGCAAACAGCGGGAGGCAGGGCTTTCTCCTATAGATCTCTATTTTTATGGAACAGTCTGCCTACCCATGTGAGAGACGCAGACTCGGTCTCAACCTTTAAGTCTTTACTGAAGACTTATCTCTTCAGTAGGTCATATGATTGAGTGTAGTCTGGCCCAGGAGTGTGAAGGTGAACGGAAAGGCTGGAGCAACGAACAGCCCTTGCTGTCTCTGCCGGGCCGGTTCCCCTCTCCACTGGGGTTCTCTGCCTCTAACCCTGTTGCAGGGGCTGAGTCACTGGCTTGCTGGTGCTCTTTCATGCCGTCCCTGGGAGGGGTGCGTCACTTGAGTGGGTTGAGTTACTGACGTGATCTTCCTGTCTGGGTTGGCGCCCCCCCCTTGGTTTGTGCTGTGGTGGAGACCTCTGTGGGCTATACTCGGCCTTGTCTCAGGATTGTAAGTTGGTGGTTGGGGATATCCCTCTAGTGGTGCGGGGGCTGTGCTTTGGCGGAGTGGGTGGGGTTATATCCTTCCTGTTTGGCCCTGTCCGGGGGTTTCTTCGGATGGGGCCACAGTGTCTCCGGACCGCTCCTGTCTCAGCCTCCAGTATTTATGCTGCAGTAGTTTATGTGTCGGGGGGCTGGGGTTAGTTGGTTATACCTGGAGTACTTCTCCTGTCTTATCCAGTGTCCTGTGTGAATTTAAGTATGCTCTCTCTAATTCTCTCGTTCTCTCTTTCTCTCTGAGAACCTGAGCCCTAGGACCATACGTCAGGACTACCGGGCATGATGACACCTTGCTGTCCCCAGTCCGCCTGGCCTTGCTGCTATTCCAGTTTCAACTGTTCTGCCTGCGGCTACGAAACCCCTACCTGTCCCAGACCTGCTGTTTTCAACTCTTAATGATCGGCTATGAAAAGCCAACTGAGAGACCTGAGCCCTAGGACCATACGTCGGGACTACCGGCCGTGGTGACTCCTTGCTGTCCCCAGTCCGCCTGGCCTTGCTGCTATTCCAGTTTCAACTGTTCTGCCTGCGGTTATGGAACCCCTACCTGTCCCAGACCTGCTGTTTTCAACTCTTAATGATCGGCTATGAAAAGCCAACTGAGATTTATTCCTGATTATTATTTGACCATGCTTGTCACTTATGAACATTTTTGAACATCTTGGCATGGTTCTGTTATAATCTCCACCCGGCACAGCCAGAAGAGGACTGGCCACCCCTCATAGCCTGGTTCCTCTCTAGGTTTCTTCCTAGGTTTTCGCCTTTCTAGGGAGTTTTTCCTAGCCACCGTGCTTCTACACCTGCATTACTAGCTGTTTGGGGTTTTAGGCTGGGTTTCTGTACAGCACTTCGAGATATTAGCTGATGTAAGAAGGGCTATATAAAATAAAATTGATTGATTGATTGATAGTGCCAGATTCTAGAGAACAGGGACGTCCGCTGCAGGCACCATCTTTCCCCAGAAAGGGACAGGGTCACCATCACCAACCTGCTCCTTCAAAGCCACATTTTCTTCACTGACCTCATCTTTTTGTTTACCTTCAAGCAAGGTGTCAGCAACTTCACACATGCATTATTTTACCATCTCAGAGTCTGAAAATGTTTTTTTTGTGTTTTCCCAAAACCCAAGCTATCCTCAGTGAACACGCCGTTGCACGTTGTTGGGCTGTCAGGGAATTGAAAAGGACTTTGGTGGACCTCTCATATTGGGATTTGAGTTGTTTAATCTTGTTTGTTCTCACCTCCGTGTTCAGAGGATACGTCTGATCTAATTTACTATGTCTGGTGTCATAATGGCGCTTAACACTGGCACTTTTCACGAGAGCTACGGACTCACTGCATATCATCACATTGGTTTTATGCTAGTTGCGGGGAGAATGAATAAATACTGTTCCGTCCAAACGTCTTTGAATATACGGTTTTCAGAGTGAAGTTTTAAATTTTTTTGAACAAGCCATATTAACAAAGATACTGGTAACTAAGCTCCTATCTGTGATATTCACAGTTGAACCGCGTCAGATATTTCTGTTTCTTTCTGCCTGCTTGTCCCAAGGTTCCGCTGAGGATATTTTGATTGTGATTGGGTAAAACACTGCCTCTTGTATTTGCATATAACCACGCGATTGGATTAGACAGGGAACTAGTAGAGGTGGGCGTTGCTTCGAGAGAGAGCGAGAGGTTGCTGATTTTGAGGCCACTGCACCCGTTTTATTTTTTAAAGCTGTCTAGAAAATAATGTATTTACTTTTATATAACAATGTGATGTTGTCCCGTCCGGATTGACCTTTCTCTGGGTCCGGACCCAGACCGCAGTCCGCCAATTGAGTTTGGCTGGTCTAGAATGTCATTGTATGCTGTAGGCGCCTAGCCCGAACCATGAATAACATCCCCAGACCATTATTCCTCCTCCACCAAACTTTAAAGTTGGCACTATGCATTGGGGCAGGTAGTGTTCTCCTGACATCCTCCAAACCCAGATTTGTCTGTCGGACTGCCAGATGGTGAAGCGTGATTCATCACTCCAGAGAACGCATTTCCACTGCTCCAGAGTCCAATGGCGGCGAGCTTTACACCATTCCAGCCGATGCTTGGCATTGTGCATGGTGATCCTAAGATTGTGTGCGGCTGCTCGGCCATGGAAACCCATTTCATGAAGCTCCCGACGAACAGTTACTGTGCTGACGTTGCTTCCAGAGGCAGTTTGGAACTAGGTAGTGAGAGTTGCAACCGAGGACAGGCGATTTTTACTCTCAGCACTCAGCGGTCCTGTTCTGTGAGCTTGTGTGGCCTACCACTTCGCAGCTGAGCCGTTGTTGCTCCTAGACGTTCCCCCTTCACAATAACAGAACTTACAGTTGTCCGGGGCAGCTCTAGCAAGGCAGAAATTTGACAAACTGACTTGTTGGAAAGGTGGCATCCTAAGGCATCCAAGTTGAAAGTCCATTCTACTGCCTATTTCCGTTGGTAAAGTCCAGTAAGGCCATTCTACAGCCAATGTTTGTCTATGAAGATTGTATGGCTGTGTGCTCGATTTTACACACCTGTCAGCAACGGATGTGGCTGAAAAAGCCGAATCCACTAATTTGAAGGGATGTCCACATACTTTTGTCATGTAGTGTGTATATTGGCCATATACCACAAACCCCTGAAGTGCCTTATTGCTATTATAAACTGGTTACCAATGGAATGAATACAGTAAATTGCACTTTTTTGTCATACCCATGGTATACGGCCTGATATACCACGGCTTTCAGCCAATCAGCATTCAGGGCTCCAACTACCGTTTTATAATCAACAATGAACATTACATACCGCTAGATAGCTGCAAAAGCTTTACTAGTTTGGTTTTAGCTATACTTTTTGCTTTACTAACAGGTTTTACTATAGCGTCGTCTTTTAGTCACTTCAGGGGATTCAAGTGTGTGTGTGTGTGTGTGTACTCGCAGATCTCTCAGGTTCTGATCACATGATCCTGTCCGGCTGCCGCCCGGCCACGCCCTCCTCTGCCGAGTCTGGGTTCATGCCCTGGTTAGGGTCATCGGGGTCTCGGCAGGGCCACAGCAGGGTCAAAGTTCACACCCCCAGCACCCCAGAGCTCTACTCTGCCCTCCAACTGCCCTACAGCTGCAGGTCAGGCCCAGACATGTCCTGACTCTGTTCCTAATGTCACCCTGTTTCCCGATTTGGTGCACCAGGGCTTGTAAATTAGTGCACTATATAGGGAATGGGGTGTCATCTGAGACGTAGACCTAGTTACTGTTTAAATCCATCTTTCCTTCCTTCATTCTTTGCCCTCTTTCTTCAATTAATCCCCAAAGGGAAAATCATTATTAGTGATTGAGGTAATCACTGATCTTATATGATTACAGATGGACTATTGTTGTAGAATGTTGTGTGTGTGTGTGTATATATTTGACTGTAACTAAATTCCTCCATCTCACCATTCCTCTAATCCCGGATTCCCCTCCACCCCCCATCCCTCTCTCCAAACCCCAATTTTTCCACCCTCATCCCTCCAACTCCACATCCCGCCAACCTCTCCTCCACCCACCTTTCCCTACCTCCATCCACCCATCCCTCCACCTCCCCAGGTCCAGTGAGAGTGATGCCCAGTCAGAGTGCTTGGATGTGGGGGCAGAGAGGCTCCAGTTTGCCCCCCCTGGTCCTCGCCTGGACTGGTCATTTCAGTAGGATGGCTGTTTATGTAGTTTCCATTGTATGTCTTATAATATTGTCCCTTTGTCGTTTCCATTGATTTATATATTCGTTTTTCAATGTGATTAATAAAGATGAATAGTTTGACACATTCCTTCTCTACTAATGATTCGATGAGCCAGGAGAAATGTTACTAACTTATTGGTGGTAGTATTGAACAGCAAGGAAGTCGAAGCAGTTATGAATTTTAAGAGGTGTGATATTTTAATACAATAGGCTATTATCGAACAGCGTCCTATAACTCAGAATTATAATCTAAATCCTATCAATTTAGACCCTAGAATAGATCAACTGTCTTTTGAAGTTTTTTAAATATTGTTGAGTAAAATTGTATCCCAAATAGTTCATTTTGACCAATTTAGAAGTTGTCAGTTTGAAACCCTTTTATTGATGGAGACCATCTGATTGGCTGATTTCCAAAACACTGACAGGTCAAAAGGTGCATTTTGTCAAACATGCCTTCAGTTGAGTTCGCAATTCATTGAACCCATCGCATCGTTTAGAAATTTAAACCCCGCTTTCTTTGTGGTACATTCTGGTCGTTATCAGACACTAGTCTGTTGGGCTATAAAAATACAAGTGGGAAGATGAACGCTATGATTTGTCAACACCTACCGCGTTACATGGAGTCCGAAAAGAAGAGTTTCCAACCGTGGCGGGACTACATGAAGCTAGCGGACGCAGTGCGGGAGATGCAGTTGGGGAACTTCGCCTCAGAACCGTCAACCGTCGACGGTCATTCCTCTGGGATATGCTCGACCATGGTGGAATTTGAACAGTTACCGCCGCGAGCCTTGCTGTCACGGATAACACCGGAGGCGACAACACACCAACCTAACGAAAAGGAAACCCTGTATTCCGAAATCGTCCCCGTGCGTAAAGACGCTCCTTTACGTCCGAGCAGCAGCAAGGATCCCAAGCACTCTACAGCAGCGTCCAGACCCTCCGCGGGCACCCGGGGCCAGAGGGAGAGAAAGAAGGCGACCCGCTCCAAGACGCCGGAGGAGGTGCCATCACCTGAGCGCAAGTTCTGCAGCTTCTGCAAACATAACGGGGAGTCTGAGTCTGTGTTTGGGTCCCACAGTCTCAAGGGACCGGGATGGGGACGTGGTGTGCCCGTACCTGTGGCAGTATGTCTGCCCTCTCTGCGGGGCCACCGGGGCCCAAGCCCACACCAAGCGCTTCTGTCCCCGGGTCGAAACCACCTACAGCTCTGTATATGTCAAGTCGGAGAAGCGCTAGCTCTGGTCCAGGCCGTTAGTGCGCTACCTTCTAGGCCTACTAACAGAGGCAACTCGTTGTTGCGAGATGGGTGGAACCAGAGCTAGAGAAGCGCTGAAGAGACTGTTCATGCTGTTGTGTTGGCGGCATTCTTTGGCGTCTCTAGCGCGCTGTATGTGGACAGTTGTCAGGATTTACGAGTGGATATTTAGCTTAGAAGGAGTTTGGAATAGGCTGACTAGTTTTGTAGACTATGGAGTAGCCTATTTATCGTGTGATTTGTATTATTTCCGTGTGTTTTCAACTTTTGTCGCTTATTTCTATTTATTTATGACGTGTGGTTTTTCATTATTTGCATGCACGTGTTTACAGCACATTTTGGGTTTGAGTTTTCTTTTTTTACTGTAAAGCGTAAATGTCCTTGACCAAACTAACTGCTTCTTTACATGTTGGTGTGAGATTTTGTAAAACCTCCCAACCTCTATTACTGTGTCGCCTAATGAACCGCCCTTATCAACGAACTCTACCTGCTACTTTAGGAAGGAAAAAACGGAAGTGTTGTCTTGTTTTGAGACTTGTGTTTTCCTGACTCTTATTTCAAAAAAGATATGCTCTAATCTAACTGTAGATCTGCAAGTCTACAGGCCTAATATAACTATTGGAAGAACATGACTATTGACAATAACAAGACAACAGCTATTTTATGTGGTGTGCAGAGCTACTTTGGGTAATTGCCATTTACCACGCTAGCTACTATTTTAAATTGTAATACTTGTATTTTAATAGATCTAGAAGTGTATTTTTTGTTGACTTTTCAACCTGTATGCTACTTAGATTGGCTGAATAGGACTTTAATGTTAAGTCTCACTTTAAAGAACCTTATGTTAAATAGTATGTGTGTTTTTATTATGCATGTCTTCTATAATAATAACAATAATATCTGTATTGGCTACTCGTGTGTGTCTTACTTATCATTGAGGTGTCCCTAAAAAGGTATCCCAAGTGGCACCCTATTCCCTATCTAGTGCACTACTTTGCGTGTGTTTTCAACTTTTGTCGCTTATTTCTATTTATTTATGACGTGTGGTTTTTCATTATTTGCATGCACGTGTTCTTTACAGCACATAGGGGTTCTGATCAAAAGTAGTGCACTGAATAGGGCATTGTCTACAAATGGACTTTAGATCTTAGTGGTAAAGGTGATCTTTTTATGTTGAGAATCTTTTTAGACTGGTTAGTTTTAAAAAAAGCAACATGTATCATAGATCCACGACTGAGCTGAGGAGATATACAATAACCAAAGATCCAACTTTAGTAATGATTTATTTTATAACACGTTCTCCAAAACACAGTAACAACATACTGTCCCAGACTGATGTCCTCAGCATCAGGAAAGGCAGAGGAGAAGAAAATAACCCTTAAACGGGGTGGTAGCTTTTTTTAATGCCAATAAAGCTACCACCCGGTTAATCAACCCTGCACCTTAGAGGCTGCTGCCCCATATACATAGACTTGGAATCACTGGTCACTTTAATAATGTTTACATACTGCTTTACTCATCTCATATGTGTATATACTGTATTCTATTCTACTGTAGTTTAGTCAATGCCACTCAGACATTGCTCGTCCTAATATTTATATATTTCTTAATTCCATTCTTTTACTTTTAGATTTGTGTGTATTGTAGGGAATTATTAGACACTACTGCACTGTTGGAGCTAGGAACACAAGCATTTAGCTACACCTGCAATAACATCTGCTAAATATGTGTATGTGACCAATAAAATTAGATTAGATTTATAGACCGCCATTATTATTAGAACGTTGTGTCCATATAACTTCACAAACTTTCAGTTCAAATCTGGGTTGATACTTTGGATCATTGTTCTCAAACTGATCTTCAGTATTCAAGTCCCCCCCCCCCCCCCCAAAAAAAAATACAAATAAACTTTCAAGTGAGCCTCCGCTATGTGAAGACTGTTACCCATGAGCCTTTGGGGGCGTTGTGATGATGGTTCGGTGTGGGTCCCAAATGACTATATAGGGACTAGGGTGCTATTTGGTAGGCAAACTAGATCTCAGAGCGTCGTGGGGGGAAGCCACGGCGTGGGGGAGGCCTCGCTGTCTTGTTGCCACGGCGGAGAGTCTCTAGCTCCCGATGGGTAGCCATCACTACCCGACTGAAAGAGGAAGGGAGGAGGGGGGAGAGATGGAGGGGGGGAGAGATGCAGATGGAGGGGGGGAGAGATGCAGATGGAGGGGAGAGAGATGCAGATGGAGGGGGGTAGAGATGCATTGGGAGAGAGTGATATTATTTTTAGTTGCTATGTCTGTTTTTCCTACTAACAAAACATCTGATCACCACTGTCATGCTAATGTAGTTGGTTTGATGTTTCCCATGCCAATAAAGCCCTTTTGATTTAATTGAAGTGAATGATCTGAGAGACAAGGCAAGAAGAGCCTTCTATGCCATCAAAAGGAACATAAAATTTGACATACCAATTAGGATCTGGCTAAAAATACTTGAATCAGTTATAGAACCCATTGCCCTTTATGGTTGTGAGGTCTGGGGTCTGCTCACCAACCAAGAATACACAAAATTGAGACTTCATGCAGAATTCTGCAAAAATATCCTCATTGTACAATGCAAAACACCCAAATAATGCATGTAGAGCAGAATTAGGCCGATACCCGCTAATTAGAGAAATCCAAAAAAGAGCCATTAAATTCTACAACCACCTAAAAGGAAGCGATTCCCAAACCTTCCCTAACAAAGCCATCACCTACAGAGAGATGAACCTGGAGAAGAGTCCCCTAAGCAAGCTGGTTCTGGGGCTCTGTTCACAAACACAAACAGACCCCACAGAGCCCCAAGACAACAACAACACAATTAGACCCAACCAAATGAGAAAACAAAAAGAGAATTACTTGACACATTGGAAAGAATTAACAAACAAACAAAGCAAACTAGAATGCTACAGTGAGGGGAAAAAAGTATTTGATCCCCTGCTGATTTTGTACGTTTGCCCACTGACAAAGAAATGATCAGTCTATAATTTTAATGGTAGGTTTATTTGAACAGTGAGAGACAGAATAACAACAACAAAATCCAGAAAAACACATGTCAAAAATTTTATAAATTGATTTGCATTTTAATTAGGGACATTTTTGGACCTCCTCTCAATCAGAAAGATTTCTGGCTCCCAGGTGTCTTTTATACAGGTAACGAGCTGAGATTAGGAGCACACTCTTAAAGGGAGTGCTCCTAATATCAGCTTGTTACCTGTATAAAAGACACCTGTCCACAGAAGCAATCAATCAATCAGATTCCAAACTCTCCACCATGGCCAAGACCAAAGAGCTCTCCAAGGATGTCAGGGACAAGATTTTAGACCTACACAAGGCTGGAATGGGCTACAAGACCATCGCCAAGCAGCTTAGTGAGAAGGTGACAACAGTTGGTGCGATTATTCGCAAATGGAAGAAACACAAAATAACTGTCAATCTCCCTCGGCCTGGGGCTCCATGCAAGATCTCACCTCGTGGAGTTGCAATGATCATGAGAACGGTGAGGAATCAGCCCAGAACTACACGGGAGGATCTTGTCAATGATCTCAAGGCAGCTGGGACCATAGTCACCAAGAAAACAATTGGTAACACACTACGCCGTGAAAGACTGAAATCCTGCAGCGAAGCAAGGTCCCCCTGCTCAATAAAGCACATATACAGGCCCATCTGAAGTTTGCCAATGAACA